CACCTGCGAGATAAGATCAAGTTGCCTTTTCTTACCAAGCAAACAACTTCACATCTGTGCAGCTGCAATGTTGCCGCGCACGGGTGTGTGCACGCGCATGACTGGAGCTTTATGGTTTGGGGATATTCGTAGAGCGAGGTCCATCACGGCCACCGCAGCCTGAAGCACAAGAGGCTTAAGGAAGGAGACATAAATCGCAAAGCAGTTGGTGAGCGAAAAGCAGAGATACAGAGAAGGTGTGCGGGAGAGAGGGAGTATAATAGGTAGCTGTGGGTTGTGCCTGAGACTCTACATGTGGTCTGATGCTGTATGTCTGCACGATTGGATATGGTTGGCTGAGTAAAACCAGCACTCTCCTCTTCCCTCGTCTCCTCTCCGGCATGGGAACAGGCTTGTTATGCAACCAGACAGATATATAGGACTGGGTGCTCGGGGAGCCAGATTGGCAAAAACTCACAGGTACGCTTTGACAGAACGTACGCAAAGTTGTCCGTGCCTGATTCAGAAGAGCTTCCTTTACTATGCAAAGTCAATACATCCTGATACTCTAAGCACTTTCTAAGTCTTTCTACTCGCAACTTTCTGCCTGCACTGGAGGAAATTAATATGTGAAGAATTTAGAAATATTGTCAGTTATGAAACATAAGTTACTCCTCTCTTCCCTAAAAAAAAAAGCTTTCACTGATTGAATTGTTTCATAGGCTTGGGTCGTCTCTAGAGATGCCGCACCGCACATATCTTCTTCCAATGTTGCTGTGTTCCCAGATCTCAGCGACTCATATGTGCAGAGGAGCTTTTGTGGTTCCTGGAAGTTGCCAAACTTCGCCTCTCGTCCATATTTCTCTAGTTTCTGAAGACAGAAAGGGACATATGTTGCATGAATTGTCAAGGCTTTGTGATTTTGGACTACAGAAATTAAAAACAACTTCAGTGCAGCGATATCATCAGCAATAGAAATAATGACCATAACGACGTAAATACAAGCTAGCTTTTAATGAAGTGGAATTTTCTTTTAACGAAGGAATCCCTGACATCTGCACTTTCCCTCAGTCCCTCGTGCCACTGCTCACCTGAGCAGCTCTAAAGAGTGCTGACTGTTTAGTGTTTTCTGAAGCTTATTTCTTACTGGCAATAATCTTTTTTCTACCTTCACTAACACCTTTGAAGAAATGCATGAGACGCAGAGGTTCGGGTGAATACGAAACATAGTAATTAGTATTTTATCTCCTTGCTCTTTTTGCTCTTGCTCTACCCACTCTTTTACTTCTTCCCTTTATCTCACTCTCACTCTCTGTCTCTGTGGTTCAAGGGAAGAATTCTCTCTAACTCCTCCACGAAATCACAGACAATTAAAGCAGAGCATTGTATGCCTGAGGGCCTATCTGCTCTGTGTGCGTACACATTTGCACACATACACACAGCCCCCCCCCCCCTCACCCCCCCAACACACACACAAACAATACATGAAAAAATACAGTACACCCCCACACACTCTTGCATGTACAAGCATACATAGAAACACTCAAAGGCACGTTCTCTGTGGTGCATTTTCTTTAGCCATGGCTTTTTATGGAGTACAGGATTATGGAATCACACCAGTCTCTCCCTGCCAGCTGATTGGACACTCTACCCTCCGTCATTCAAACATTGGATTCATCCTGCTGCTAAATTCAACAGTACGTTTAGCCCGCTTCAGTCTGCTCTAGATTTAGTCACGCTGACTTAGCTGCTGGCAAGTTATGCACGCTGTTGCACCGGGTCCAGATGCCGCTGAATCGTGTCACGAGGCCGGCTCAGTCAGAACCTCCTCCTCCTCTGTTGACCTCGATGACCTCTATTTGAGGAATAGAATGATTTGGCTTTGTTCCAAGAGATTTCAAAGGGTTAAGTGAAAGCAGCGTGAGGCGACTTGGAACGGCTGCACAATGTGAACCTTGAATCCAAAAGTGAATTGCACCTTGCGGTTTCTTTTATCTCACCTCCTCTTCTCCGCACGTCTCAGTCCCTCCCACCTGAGATGCAAGCGGAGGAGGTGAGGAAGAGACGCGAGGACAGAAGTAACAAAATGAGACATCCTCGCTTTGCAGCCACTTTAAAGTGACTACAGTGAAATATAAAATGTGGCACAGCTGCATCATTTTTACTTCATGATCTCTGTCAGATGAGCAAAACACTCTTCATGATAACTTCTATATTTACTGTTATTTCAATTCACAACGTTCCAAAACATGACACGAATGTGTCACTTTGACACGTCACAGACACCGATAAGACTTCTGCAAAGGATACACCCGTGGAATACGTGGAAGTAGTCACTGTGATGTCACCCATTTGTTTTTTGACTCCCATTTTGAAGCCTCCAGTTTGGCTTTTTGGCCGTCACCATGACACGAGAGGGTGGAGCTAAGTACGACTGAACGCTGAAAACGATATTTTTAGGCGACCACAATGTTATAAGAAGAAAAAACAGACAACTCCCAGACTGAACAACACCGTGGTAAAGACATGTCAATCACAAGGTAGCCCCGCCCTAAAGTTCTGGTCAAAGTCCTGCCTCTTTTAGTTGAGATCATAATTGATGCTGGAATTGTTAGGCGAGCTGGCAAGTCATGTATGGCATCGACCATCTTGGACACATTACAAATGGAAATCAATAGTTTTGTCTGTTGTCTTATTTTCCATGTCTCCAACCCTTCTCAGAGGAGCTAATAATTGGAGCTGATAATTGCTACCAGGCTCATAACATATTGACGCAGGCTCGGTAATAAGCAGGTGAAAGCAGCTGAAAACATTCCATTTCTGAAAATGGATATAATTAGTACGTCTCTTTGTGTCCCCACTAGGCGAGACAGTGTTGAATAAACAAATTCTCCAATTTCTAATCCAGTCAGCATTCTCATTAAAATGCCAATGTATATTCACTGTGGGTACCGTTGTGTATTTCAGCTTAAAAAAGCCTAAAGAACGGTTACATTTTCCAGGTTGAACTTAATTACAGTATGTGATTCACAACAATGACTCTGGCAGCACAGAAAACAAGAACAAAAAGAAGCTCAGGCCCATTTTTCTTTTTCCTGCTAGGTTTTGTGAGGAACTTATTACGCGATCAATCACATACAGCATGAACGGACCGGGATCAATTAATAATTGAAAACCGTTAAACTACTTGAAGCGCTGATAGGAATCTGCCTTAAGTCAGAGGCAAGGCTGTGTGGAAGGGCAGCGGGTTAAATAGACATGATTAATCAACCCCAGAGCAGTATTTGCATTCATTTGTGGCACTACATGTGGATGTAGACGGCAGCTGTATCTCAGTACCACACTACATTCTAACTCTAAGCAGCTTTGGAGTGTATACTGTGTTTACTCTCCCACAATGCAATGCACAAAGAGCTGCGCACTGACTGCAGATGGTGTTGAAGACGCTCAAAGAACCCCTGAAGGGTAACTTCTGTATTTTTCAACCTTATTTTCCCATGTTTTTGTGTCTAAATGTCTAATAGGGACAAAAAAAAATGTAATTCCTGTTTGGCTGCTGCCGTCTGCAGCGTTCTCCCTCAATACAAGCCTAATCTTAAGTGCTACAACAGTGGAGTTGCAAAGCAGAAGTGATCGAATGCATTGATAAGGCAGCTCCTCAGCCCCATAATGTAGCCCTGCTCAGACGCCGGGGCCAGTGCCCCTCTCCTGGCACCTATAGGCAGCCTATAGTCATGACAGGTGGCTCCCAGTGAGGACAGCTGGAGAGCAGCCTCAGTGTGCTGCTGCTGCTGTCGGCTGCAGCCACCTTCCCCCGAGGAAGCCGCAGATAATCATTTCATCATTTCCTCCATTATTGACAGGAGCTGGGCTATTGAGTTCCCAGCGTTGTAGATAGCATTAAGATCCATTAGCGTCCAATGCAGCATGTGTGTGTGTGTGTGTGAATATACGTGTGTGGTTGGAGTTTGATCCTAAGTAGACTTGCAGCTCTGAGGGGCAGCGACTGAGGAGCGCGGGTATGACAGGCTTCATCAAATGTCTCTCTTCGCTCAGTGCCGTGGCGAGACTGCCGCTGCGTCGAGAGGCTCCGGCCTAAAAATGACCCTCTCCCCGCTGAGTTGCCATTCATTGCCCATCACATTAGACATCTAGACACGCTCTCTGCTCCAGCTTGCTGGGCTGCCATGCAAGCACTCGCCTTTCTTTGTCCGATTCTCTTCTTCGCTACAACTCTTCTCCTGCTTCTCTTTCTCCCTTTTGAGGAAATTCATGTCAGCCAAGATGGAGCCAGCTGACTATACCTTTCACTTGCCTTGCAGAACTTTTAGCAAAGCCCTTATTGTGTGGCTTTATACAGTAGTAGCGCTACAATAGCAGCACACAAATACAGCCTTCGATTGTCGCCGACTGCAATTTCATACATTAAGGTGGAGTTCTTCCAGCACATTTCCAGTTTTCAATTTGTTATCGAGGACGTAAAAGAACCTTATTTACTGATCTCTGCTATTTCTCAGCCTCTTAAGAGCCCATCCCACCGTTGTTCCCTGCATACAGTCATTGTCAAGAGCGACAACTGCAAATAGCATTACCTCCGGCTTAAAGGATCCCATTCATTGTGAAGGTGACTGACAAGCTTGTCGCAAACAGACATGTGCCTAATAGAAGGTATCAAGCAAATCTGTCTCTTTCGAAGGAGAAATGGCTGAACAGGAACTTTTAAAAGCGGTTAAAGTTTGGATAAAATATAGAAATTGTTCTTTTCAGCAGCGACAATCGTATACTTGCAACAGCTGCTATTGTGGGGTTATTTCTAAGAAGCTTCTTATTTATAGAGAGGGATATTTAAATGCAGTATACGGTGACTGAAAAGGAAACGAGCCACAATGCTATAAAGAAACTGACACTTTTTGAAAGTCATTTTGTGTTATTATGTCTCTCTAGACGACTTCAGCAACTAATCCATTTCCTATTTTTTCTCTTTCTGTCTTTCTCCGTCCCTCTTTCCTTTTCTATCACAGCTGCACTGCAGGTGTCCATATCCTTGAACAAAGTGGAGTTAAGTGTCGGAGAGTCCAAGTTCTTCATCTGCACAGGTACGACAGCCGCACACTGTTTTTATGTGGATGTACTGTGTGTGTGTGTGTGTGTGTGTGTGTGTGTGTGTTTGGAGGCAGGTCAGGGAAGCAGCAGGGGGCTTTACATCGTCGCCTCTGAAGTCTGTTTGTGGTTTGTAGGACAGTGAACGCAACACAATCCGTGCTGTCCATATGGTGAGTGACTCTTTGACTCAATGGGCACAGGATCCAAACAGGGACACCTCGCCCCTCCTCCTCATTGTCCTCTCAGAACGGCATATCAACACTCAGCTATAACAGAGAACCTGACGCTGCTGCCAGTGGCTCTGTAGGGTGGCAACACACTCTGGCAGGCCCGGCCCGCCTCCTGCTGGCTGCCTCTTCTCGCCTGCCAGCCCACTCAGCGTGGAGCTAACAGCCAAGGGAGTAGAGACACACACCGGAGGAGCATTGAGGGGGTGTGGAGGTCTTACGTGTGCTGAGTAGGACAGAATGGAGCTGAATGCAACCAAACTGGCAGGAAATGCAAGGCAAAGGTAGAGGCTTTTATTGTGAAAGAGCTAAAGCGACAGAACTGGGAAGAAAGGAAAAGGCTTTGAGGCAAAAGAGTGTTGGAGGTGGGAGATAAATAGTCACCATCCAACGTCAAAAGTGCGTAGGAGGAAGTGTCTGTGTCACTTTTTCTTTTGCCCTTCTCAGCCTTTTTATTTTTATTTTATTTACCACATTTACATGCAGTCCTGCCAACTGGATTGGGCTGAAAAGCAGGGCAGAACAGTCAGAGGCAAGAGTCCAGTGGAACCAAAGTGAGCCCGCAAACAATCAGAGACTTTTAAAGGGACTTTTTAGCTTTAAGTTGAGTCCCGCTGTACGAATCAGGCCCACATGAATATGGATTGGAGAAAAGAAAGGCACAGAAAGGCAATTATATAGTATGTTGATTTACAGGTGGGTTCCGTTTGTGAAGAAAGGCAGAACAGAGAGGTGAATGTGTACTTGAGAGAAAAGAACCTGGGTGAAATCAATTCACTTGTTCGATACAAAGAAAAGAATTGGCAGCAGGGTTAAAATGATTGAAGGCCTCATTTCTTCCAAGAGAGTCAGGTGAAAATGCGGTCAAACCTACGTCAACATCTTGGTATTAAGTTCCTTTTTTTTCATGTATTATCTTTGTCTGCTCCCATCTTTCTATGAAACGTTTTCTCTTTCCTTTGAATACCCTCAATTCTCATCTATACCCATCCATGGTTAAATATTACACAATATAAGTTGACTATATGGCTGTCATATATCAAACAACGTACAGTATATACTGTATATATATTTAAATTTTAACAGCTCAATGTTGAAGAGTGTACAAATAATATGAATTGATACATGTCCATGGAATAAGCTCTAAATGTTCTTAGTATTCATTTTACAAAAGCTTTTATCGTCCGTCCTCAGAGCGACTGATGTGGCATCTATTCATGAGTTCTTGCTTTTAGGAGAAAACAGCAGACGGTATATGGGGTCAGGAAGAGAAAAGGAAAACAGGGAGCGAGAGGCGGAGGGAACAAAAACCGGTGAACCGAGCTGCAGAGCAGACGGCTGGAGAGATTGTCTTTAGAAAATAGTCGTCTCTAAAGTGGTCTGCGAGTGAGAAAGAGAAACACTGCATTTGTGCTGGTGTCACCTTGCACCTCGAGTGAATTTGTTCTTGGTTTGTTTCCATCATGGTTGTGGGAAAGGTCATGATGGCAAATGCTTGAAATGAGAGATAAGAACCGTTTCTACACAAATTATAGCGCATGTTGAGCAATCTAACATTGTTATTTTGCAAAGCTACATTTAGCTGTTTTTAATGGATGCCCTTACAGAAGGAGAATGTTTTTGTAATGTCCATAATGTTTCAGTGTTGTCTGCTACACCAGTGTACCCGGTCATATTACTGCAACATATAATACCATGCAGATGTTGTGGTTTTGGAATAGATCGTGCAGCCTTCTGGAACTCTACAGGGGGACAAACACCATTATCCAAAAAACATTCCCTCATTTGGTGTTTTAATGATGGTGGTGGAGTCTGCTGCAAAACTGGCTCTGCTATTCTGTTGCACTGCTTTTATTAGGCCTCTGCGCCGTCGAAAAAGCCATGGCCAGAGGAATTATTTTTTCAGGTTGTCCGTCCGTTCGTCCACACGACTAGTCCATTGGGTTTTAGTGGCCAAAGATCAAGGTCACTATGACCTTACCTTCATCCCATTCCTGTGTAAACGATATGTTAGGAACGTCTTGAGGGAATTCCTTCAAATTTAGCACAAGATGAACCAATTTGATTTTGGTGGTCAAAAGTCACTGTGACCTCACAAAACAAAAGTGTGTTGCCATCTGTATATTACTGAATATAACATCATGCAGTGAATAGAAATTTAAAGTCATTACTGTAGGTTCATGGAATTGTATTTGCTTCAAAACCAATAAAAAAACAAAAATGTGACCGATCACAGAAATCAAGTGCATTGTTACAAAAGTACTTGTTTTTTCAATTCAGTTTTAAATGCTCAATTAGACCTTTGTTAGGAAACAAACAAACCACAGAGAGAACGGATCTCCTGTCAGGGTTTAAATGAAGCTGAGCTCCTGGCGTGACAAATAAGGAGCTGGATAAACTGGTGTTTAGGTGTGTGTTTAACCTCCCATAAGACTGTGGTGGCAGGAAGCCAGAACAAGTGTTGGCTACAAAATAAAACAAAGGCTGCTATAAAGGCAGCCTCACTGGTCAAATGAGATCCAACGGTTCTTATGTTTCCATGTGGTTTTCTTCAGATACGTCTAACAAGAGCAGGGGAGGTCACATCCCTCGTCCCAGTGCACCCAGACGTTACAGCGCAGACAGAGATGGAGAGACAGAGATGAATATGTAACCGATAATTCTGACATCATGTCAAGCTACACCTGTGTACATGCTGACCAGCGTGATTCTTTCCCTGCTCAGCTCTTGTTTCTGCCCAGCTATCTACTTCCCCCGAGACCTGAATCAATTACGACCACGGCTCCAGTGTCAGCCGCCGTGGGGACGTGGGAGTGTTTCGGCTTGCTCGCAGCTAATTCTGGCGCCAAGGGGCACGTCTAGTCAATAATCTGCCTTGTGCAGGAGGCTTAGATCGCTTCAATGTTTCAGTTTCTTTATATTGCTCCCTCACTGCAAAGGAGGATCGTAAACATTGTCTGAAAACACCTTCCAGACACAAAGCGTTGCTGCTTGCTTTCTTAAAGTTTTATTTCCATGTGCGGTTCAAAAATCAAGCTGATACAGAGCAGAGCTGTCGCTTCCACGAGCGGTTAACAGAAGCCGGCGATCAATTAGCCTGCTGCTGTTTAGACATTTTGCAAGCACCTCGAAAAAAAAATCTTCATTGTCTTTCCACTCTGCCTCCAGAGGAGTCAGTCATCGAGTGTTCGCTCTTGTCAAGAATCAGTAATAATGCCAGAGCTTATGCAGATTCTAAGAGCGGTTTGACAAAATTTCCAACAGCTATTCATTCAGTTGTAAGAAGGCACACAGGGAGGCAGGACCGAGTGTGAAAAACAGGGCAGCGTGCTACACACTCCTGTCTACTCAGATCATCTGTGAAGCAAACGGCCTGTCATCGCGCTGGCTCCATCAACTTCGAACATATTACGCTGTCTTTGCTGTCAACAGACTGTAAAATGGTAAGGGGTGATAACGCTGTAATGCTAACAGGTATAAAGAGACGCCTGTAGCGATGCTAGATACTTATCTGTTCCCCACAAGTACCCAGATGCAGCACGCGGCTCTGGTGGGAAGCCACGTGTGAAGGAAGGCAGAATGGCTCCTACTGTAATGTGATTTCAGTCGCGCTCGTGTTTGATTGCCTCGTCGGATTTGTTGGCGTTGAAACTAACGAGCAGCAGACACGCATGCCAACGGACATGACGCTGATGGTTGTTGGAGACATTGAGATCGGTGTTAGCATGCTGAGGGCGACAGTGGGAGACTTTCTCTGTGAAGCAAAGCGCAGGCATCAAGCGGCAAATCAGCTCATCACTTTCCATTACTGAGAGATTATTATTGATGTTATACCCAATGTACATAACCGTGCATGCTGGACAAATATGTTTCCAGCTAAATCCGACCATATAATAAGACATCTCTTCACAGTAGCACCTGGGAGCTCTTGAGATGAACCAACACCAATCATGACTCCAGCTGAGTAGTTGGAGGTTAAAAGCTCTGCTCAAGGGCATCTTGCTGATAGCTACTGAGGGGAATAGAGAGCATTCAAACCGCCTGCTTCCTGCTCTCGCTCTCTCCCTCTGGAGATATCTCTTGCCATCTTGTATTACGTCTATTATCTGCTCTTGTTTCTTTCGTTCCCTCTTTGAAATCCAGAGACCTGTCTCTAAGGGACTGGACAAGTCTCTGTCCATCTCCTCTTCAAGGCTCTGGCTGATTGATAGGCCAAGTACTGGCCCTCCACACTGACACTTTTATTTGCAGTATTTACAGCCGAAGGACGCCTGCTGCTTGCAGATGGCCACATAATCTCCTACAGTAGCCTGCAGACGAGTTCCCGTTCCACGGGCTACATAAGGACGCCACTGTGTTTAGTGTCTCGGTTTGTATACGTGCGTAATCTTGGAAACGAGAATGGGATTTACAGCCTACATATGTCGCTACTCCTTTACAGATTTATAAATTATGTAAATCCAAGATTATGATTTTGATGATGATTATGATTATAATTTCAGGCCATCTGGTCCCTCGACAAGTTCCAACAATAACAACGTTGGATGGTCTTCAGCTGTTCAGCAGACCAAAGCGAGCAGCAATGCTATTGTTTTGACATATAAAACCTTAGCGTCACTGTATGAATACAAAACGTACCCGACACATTACTTATTTCACAATCTGACTCATCAAATCAACCAATTAAATTAATTCTCGAAGTCCCACATTGTGAGTCCCATTGAATCGTAAGTAGTGGGCTAAACTTGATGGAAATCTGTCAGAATGGGGCAACGTAGCGATTTGTCTACATTCTCTCTCAGCCTCTGTGTCTCTGTGGTTTGATCTGTTTGATGAAGACTCAAATGAACATAAAACATTTCGATTAAAAAACTAGACGTGCATGCAAGTAAACAAGGCTCCAAGCATCGTATGCAACCAAAGGGAAAAACAACCAGCTTTTCTTAAACGGTGTTGTCCTTGCAGAAATACTGCAGGCTGACTCACTTCATGCAGAGAGATGTCACTCATGGGCAATTCAATATTTTCACAAATAATCTTGGGACTGAATGGTTCAACTTATTGGACCAATTTAAAGAATATATATAGCGGAAGGAAGTCGACAAAAGGCAACCTGTTGCAAAGAAAATGATCAACTTTCTTTTTTTTTAATCTCAGGGGTGAGTGGGGAGTAATCATGGAGATGGCTCTTTCTGAATGTCGATATGATCCTGCCTCGCCTGCCATAAAAGAATACAATGTGCTCATCACAATCACTTCATGTTTTCTCTTCCTCTGACTTTGCTCCTAGCGATTGGCGAGCCAGTGCGGCTGGAGTGGTACAACCCCCAGGGCGAGCGCATCCTGCCCTCCAAGCGGATGGCGCTCCACTCGGAGATGTCACGATCCAGGCTCATCATCTACAACGCCATCATCGAGGACGCGGGTATCTACCGCTGCCAGGCCACCGACGGCAGCGGCCACACTGAGGAGGCCTCGGTTGTGCTGGAGATCTACCGTAAGCGTGACAGATAAAATGCACTCACACACACGTTCTGCCTGCAGATGCTCTATTTGCACCTCCTGAGGAGAGTTATACATGAAGACATGAAGAGAATAAACCTCTCGCATTAGTGTTTGATCACAGGTGTAGCCAGCCTATTCATATTCTCAGCCTCAGCCACAAGCTTCGAGGAATGTTAGCTCTATCTGTGTGCATTCTAGGTCCATGTGTACCTCTGACTTTGTGTGTGAGAGCGTGTGTTGCACTCATTCTTGTGATTAAAGTGTAATGACAGCTAGTAATGCCATGGGACTCGGGGCCCTGCCAGGCATAATGAGAGATGTGGCACTGAGGCTCACCCGCCTTGCTGACCCATCACTATTTCCTGGGAAAAAAACGTAATGTTACGAGGCGGGGGTGGCTCTGTGGTTACAGAGACGGTCCCATCGCAGGTTCCATCCTCGTGCTCACGCCGAGCAGTGAATTAACTGCCATTTGTCCTGTTAAAGCGTTCTTGAGTAAGACATCCAACTTAACCACCACCAGCTCATTTGCTGAGGATCAGAATCAGATCTAGGACCAGAGTTGTAGACACTATTGGGAACACTGAGCTCATTTAAGTTTGCAGATCATTTTGAAACTGCATTTGAAACTCCATGTTCAGTAACAACAGCTAACTGAATAAATAAAACAAGAAAGATTTAAATGTGTAAAAGTATTTTAGATTTAGACTTAAGACTTTCTATTTGGTGTCATGAAAGACCTATCTGCTGGCTGATTCATGTGCTAATTCACACCACCATCACTGTGGTTGCACATATGAACTCACGGATTTTAACTGACAGTTAAAGCATTGATATCTGTGCGACTCGTATGCGATGGAGCTAGAACAGTTGACGGTAAGATTTGGCACCGAAAATAAAATTTGGCATTGAAAAATGAAACATTGGCGCTGTGAAATAAAACTCCAGAGAGAGAGGTGCAGGGAGACTTTGATTGATGTATAATCTGCATAGTTAGGAGATAAAGTCACTGTCTGGTCCCACAGCTCACTCCGACATGAAGAAAATATCAGAAGATTGTCATTAACAAAAACTATAATTTGGAATGCTTGTGTTTTATTTTTCAGTGGAACTTTTTTCAGTGCCAGATTTCATTTTCTATGCCAAAACTTACTAGCTTCATAGTGGTCAGCAATCGCCCCTCCAACAGATCAAGGTATCCCAGCACAGCCCAGTAGGTGTGGTGTTGGAGATGTTCCGGTGAAAAGACTGCACTCAATTTTGTTTACAAGTTTAGGTTGATAAAATCCTAAAATCCTTGCTAGGTCCCCATTTAGATACAAATGATACATTTCCCCAAACTTACAAAACCTTCTGTTCACAGGTAGCACAGTGACAGGAAATGCATTAATGTTACAATGCATGCAAAAGGCACACACACACACAAAAAAGATGACATAAAGAACCAAGTGAATTCTGAGAAGTGAATAACCTAAATACCCAGATACACCAGGACTTTGATCGGGACTTTGATCAGGAGTTTTCCCCGACTTTAATTGGAGGAAAACGTCAAGGTACGGGGGATTTGCAGACACACACACACACACACACACACACACAGAGAGACACATACCTGTATGTGCACACACTCGCATTGGAATCATCACCTGCTGTGTGGTTGCCTTTTTCATCCTCTCCCAGCAAACCATTAGGGGAGACATCGCAGCCTCAATCACACCTGCCACCACTCAGTCCTCGCCTCATTCCCCACATAACCAGATCCCTAAAACCATTGTTTCCATGGTAACACGCCGTCACTCACTCGGGACCCTTCGGTATAGATTGCATGAGCAGCATGCGGATGAAAAAACCTGCCTGAAGCTAAAGCCAGCCATTCTGCCAGCACACAGCTGGAGCAGGCGAGAGACTCTTCGGGCGGTGCACGAGTTACAACATGTTGTACACGAATATCTTGACCTGTGGGGGAGAAAGTGGTGACATCCTCTCAGCAGTTGATGACATCTCCATGATGACCTGTTATAATCATGTTACATGTAGTGGGAGATAAGTTTTGGATCCAATACTGGTGCCGGGACTTTAGTTAACTACATACAAACATAATAAAGCTGATTACTGGATTTCCTGGAGCTTCTTTAGCCATAGTAGAGTCATGGCTCTATTGATAGCAATATCGGTCAGTTAGTCGGTTCACCACTTTGGTCAAGTGTAAAAAACAATGTTCGATGGATTGGCCCGACATTCAAGCTCCCAAGAGGATGAATCTTACTGACGTGTAGTGAGAATATTTGGACAACTACTGGACGGATTTCCATGAAATTAGATGAGGACATGTACGGTCACCGGAGGATTGAGGCCGAAAGACTTTTGCTGTGGTTCCACCATGTGGTTCACACTTGTGGTTTTCTGAGTAAAATATCTCCGTAACCATTGGGTGGATTGGCATGAAATTCTGCACTTCATGTTCCCCTCAGGATGAACTGTAATAACTCTTCATCTAGCTCCATTATTCAGTCAGAGTGTCACTTTGTCTAATACTTTTGTTATTGGCCTAATACTTGCAAAGCTAAAGACATCACTTTGTGTTTAGTGATAATTAGCAGACGTTGGCATGCTAACATCATCATGATTCATTGAACTCAAGTCACTGCTGTGCCTAAATGCAGCCTCACAGAGCTGCTAGCATGACTCTTGCTCTAAGATAAAACTCTTGCCGGCCGGCCCACGCAGAAGATGGAAATTTAAATAGCTTTCCCTGATAGCAAAATTCTGAAATTGCTTTGAATTAACTGCAGCAGTTTGGTGCCTTTGCAGCCATACAAGGTGACAGGAAAACCAGAGTAAAGTAAGCCAGTCCAGTGCCGGAGCCAGCTCCATTCATTTCTTCTTTAGTTATTAATGGACAGAGCAGTAATGCTGCAAAGCCCATTCTCCTCAACCAGCAAAATTGGCCAGTAAAGACAGGAACCAAACTGCCTCCCAGTTGAGAGAGGTCCAGGGAAATTGGCTCGTCAACATGTTCGACACCTATCTTCGGTGTGATGTGTAGGTGAACGGTGAACGAGAACCCCTGGAGTATTTTTCAATTTGCCAGTATCAAGTGTGCAGTAGTGTTACTCTGGAGAGGATGTTTCCCTTACTGATTCTCTTGTACAGCAGTGTAGAGCAGTGTGACAACAAAAGGGAAAGGAAATTGATACAAGTGACATCAGAAGTGTTCAAACCTGAGCGAGAGACGGAGGGAGTGAGAGAGCAGTAGATTTGGGAAATAAAAGGGATGCCAGAGCAAAATTGGTAAGAAACCAACAGAGTGAATGACAAAAACATGCAATGGCATCCTTGAAGTTAATGAAGACACTGAGATGCCACGCACGTTCGCAGGCGGAGGGTGCAGTCGAGGAGCGAAAGCTCATTTTGGGGAGCAGCCTGGCATAAATCACACTGCAAAATGCTAATGCTGAAGCCTCGCTAACAGAAGGGACTGATAGGGGAGCTGTCGTTGATTTATTCACACCTTCACAATGCAGCACGCAGATGATGGCAGGTGGTTGCAAGGCTAGCGGCGCCATCCCCGGCGTACATCAAAGCCCACCATCCGAACGAGAGCGGGGTTCGAGGAAGGATCAGGTGCTGTTCGTGGAGACGGGCTGGTCCAAGAACAATGTCCTCATAAAAGCAATTTGTCAAAACACCAAATGTTTGTCAAGAGGGAGGACACAGCTTCAAACCGTCACAGAGTGGAATCTATTATTGAAGCGTTCCTGAAACCAAGAAAGAGTGAATCAAAGGCTGCCTGTGTTCTTGTCTAATTATGCAAACACAAGGGCTGCAGAATGGCTCAGCTCATTGATTTTTTTCTTTTTCTTCGTTGTTGTGATTGGCAGCAAGTATAACAGCCACCCTTCTGTCTCCTGTTCTGTTTCATCTGAATCGCCTTATCTGTGTCCCAGAAAACAGTCAAAGCCGGATTTAGCTTTTGTTTTATTTGATTTTTGTGAGTGAATCCATTTCCAAGGCACACATTGTTTCCCATGTGCCTGTTTCCAAATACTTCTCGAATTGCGAGGCATTAAGTCACATGACAGCTGTGCTTAATGTCGTTTTTGGCGACTCTACCTGCATAGCTCTACCGATGGCAAGTCGGATCAGTCCAGATGGAAATATCTAGAAACTTTTGGATGTTACCAAAATGGGACAGAAGGATGAATTTTAGGAATTTTGGTGATCCTTTAACTTTTCATTCGATGCCATCATCAGGCCAAAATTAAAATCTTTCTAACACTTTGGTTCATCACCCAAAACCTGCAGTATAATAATAACAACTAATGACATTTTCATCAGCCTCAACTGAACTATTACTTTCTTTTCTTCTTGGGATTTTCAGAACAGCCATGCGTGCCTTTAAATAGAGGCCATCCCAACACTTAGACCTGCATCATCAATACAAAAATACTCGAAAAAGCCAGACGCTCAACTTACGGGACTCAACCCAGACGGAAAATTGGAGGGAAATTTATTTTAAAACAACTTTTCCAAACCCCTAACCCCAGATTCTGTCTCAAAGCCATCATAGTTTAACAAGACGGCAAAAGCACAGCAGTTTTTTTTCCTTATTTTCCTTTTGATGTTCAGACCTGCAATAATTTGCTCTGAATGCTCGCAGAATGAAAAAAAACAGCCATCTCCATCTTGTTTGATCTCTCAGAGAGGCTGACGTTTCGGGATGTTCAGACACCGCAGGAGTTCCGCCACGGTGAGACGGCGGAGGTGGTCTGCGATGTCATTAGCTCCCCGGTGCCCGTGGTGGTGTGGTACTACCAGGACGAAGAGATCACCGAGGAGCAACACAGTAAGTGTTCATGACCTTCTTTCACTTCACCGCTATTCTGCTATTATGTTCTTGATCTCACTGTATATGGAAGGTGATTACTCGGTAAAACATGTGAGATGATGCATGATAGTTGGATAACAGCATGTTCAAGAGAAACATTTTCATGATGTAATATATTGTTTTAAAAAATGTTCGCCTTTTTTAAAACAATTTGAAAGTATGTCAAAGGTACTCTGTGGAGTTTTCAGAGCAATGTTTTTCATATCACGAGGACGCACCTACGTGTCTGACCTACGCGTCTGACATGAAACACGGTCCTGCCGAAGGTTTTGTGTTGTGGTAACGAGCCAAGAAATGTAGCAGTGTGCCAACAAATGCGGTGGAGAAGAAGGCTGTCAGCAAGGAAACATGAATATAAAATATGTAGGTTTTAAAGTCTTCCAAAAAACGGATTTATAAATGTTTTATGAGGAAAGAAATGCATTGGGCTTGTTTATAGGGTCCTTGAGGATACAAAGAATGGGTTTTAAACATAACATTGTTTGTTTACTCCACATGGTACCTTTAAAACAAAAGGCCTGAATGGGAACAGTAGTTTGGAAAATGGATGGATAGATGGAGTTTTGGGGGAATTAGATTTTTTTTAATTAGTTGTTTTTAATGAAGTCATTGAAAACATATTTTTATAGCTTCTTAATATGAGCGGTGGGGTCTTAGAAACTAGTCTGCCAAAGTTCAAGTAGTTTTGTTTATTTCACATCAGAGATTTGTGCAGTTGTGTTTGTGCCTTTACCCGATGAAGCAGATTAGCTTCGAGTGTTTCGTTTGAATCTTAATTTATGAATAATAAGGTACAATGTTGTTCATCTAGTTATCAATAGTTATAAATGCTATATCAACAAATGTAACGCTGCAAATCAAATTTCCGAGGGCTTTAAAGAGTCACTTTTGTGATAAAATGAGTCAGGTAAGTATCAAGTTTTGCATTATCAAACTGTGTAACTGATCTTGATTATTCCAACAGGAGATTATGAAGGTAATAACAGTCAAGTAAGCAGTGATCTAAAAAGAATTACATTTTGAATGTAAACCTGCTAATTGCTCTTGATTATTATTAGGGAAATGCTTACGAGTCCCGGTGTGCCCATTTGCCAAAAAATAATGTTCTCTAGCAAATGCTATTTCCTTCCTTTGTGTGGCTCCACAATAAGACAAGGATATCAAATTCTATAAATAGAAATCCCATCAGCCCCGGAGGAGGCGGATAACTTGGGCAGAAACCATGTTAGCGAGCGACTGAGAGAATGGATTATAGAGCGGGTTGGACGGTGACATTCGAAGATGCTGTTTCCCGTGAGATGCAATGCAAACCAGCAGCCCTGCATCTTATGAAAGGAGCTATTTCTAGCAAAAAGGCCGCGTTCAAACTCAATCCACAATAATTTACAATCGTCTTGTCAGTCATATTCTGTCCCATTTGATTCAAAGCTCTATCATTCATAAAGCTCTTCCCTTTTAATCCCACACTTTTGCTTAAAAAGACAGATAGAAGTAGAGAATTACTCTGAGGACAGATTAACTGTCAGCAGTGTTGTTTTCTGATAGAAGCAGGTGCAACAGTAGGAACCAGTAGACTAGGATTCATTATTTCCTCGTCTCCTCCACCCTGATTTACAACTCTCTACACCACTTCCCCATCCTCCATCGAGACAAAATGCATGCCTGAACACTGATTAGAAAGAGTGACCCCTTGAATCTGTCACATTTTTTAATTGAAATTCAAATCTTCAGTGCCACTGTGATGATGAAACATGGAGAAGAAGGCTCTTTTTTTTTTAATCATTTCACTGTAATTACAATGCATGGTTATAAATATCTTTGCTTTGAGAGGAATGAGATAGAAGCCCCATCACTCCTGGCCAATCTCACAGTGGCCACAATGGGAGGGAGTGGAGACTGTAATTGCGTGAGTGTTTATCTGTGTGGACTTTATCAGGTAAATGTGCTGAAGAGAAGATTGACAGTCTACTGGAGAGTGGAGATGGCAATTTTCTCTGCTGTTTTCCTAACTTTCTTATCTCGCCTCTCTCTCTATCATACACTGTTGTTCTTTTGTCGTTTCCCCCCTTCCCGCTCTCTCTTCTCCCGTCTGTCCTCCTCTCCTTCGTCCTGTGCTGTGAAGGCAGGTTCACGGTGCTGCCAAACAACAACCTGCAGATCCATCAGGTGACCAAGGCTGACGAGGATGTGTACCGCTGCGAGGCCAGCGTAGAGGCCCGCGGCGAGATCAATTTTGTGGACATCGCTGTGGTAGTCAACGGTGAGCTGCATTTCGAGTCATTGCTGCATTTGAAGATTTGTGATGAAACAAGCAGACAGTGCTTGAAAGGGAGACTCCCAACATTAAGGATGGTGTGTCCATGAAGACGGATTTTTAAAAATAGTTAGATTAAAGCAAGTTCAGGCCCCAAAATATCCAAAATTTTAGTAGATCCTGTTAGACTTTGAGGCTCTCTGTCATTAGTCTGACGTCTCCCAGCCCTTTGCAGGAACACTGAAGATACTACATGCAAAAATACCAAATCACTCTAAATTTGGAAATGTGTCTACTTCCCCTTTAGAGGCCAGTAATTAACTGTTTGCAAGAAACTGTGTACTTTGACTGTGACCATGAGAGCATCAACATCCTTAAAGTCACTGGGTTCCCACAAAAAATATTGTTGGTCTCAGCCCTTTCTCGAACTTTGAATTTTCTGGCTACAAATCCAATGTTCAAAAAGATGCATCCTTTCATCTTCTTCCCTGCATCTCTACAGCCTATGCCTATGTTCTTCTTGTAAAGTCTGATAATGTGCGGCAATGACGTTCCAAAGAGTCTTGAATTGCTTCAAATGGTAAACCAGCTGCAGGATAGTTTGAGTTGTCAAGCATAATCCTCTTAGGGTGACATAACCCAGTGAACAATCTTGTACAATACAAACCCAAACCTCCAAAGCTAGCTGAGAAGTGAGGCTCTTCAGTACTTCAGCTCTGCAGAACACAGACACGAGCTCCTCTTCACAGAGTCAACAGATTAGCATGCATTAGGGTTTGAGTTTCCTCTGCATACACAAGTTTTCTTGTCGCTGTTTTTATTTTATTTATTTAACCTTTATTTAACCAGGTGAAGTCCCATTGAGATTAAAAATCTCTTTTTCAAGGGAGACCTGGCCAAGACAGGCAGCTGTGGTTTTCATAAATGAACGCCGGCCATTCTTTTCATTCTGAAGCCTACAAGGCACTAAGTCTGCAGATGCCTGAAGTTAAACGTATAATAACAGAGCTGGGATCGATTACACAGGATCAGTGTCACATTGTTAAGCTTTTATTAGTTGGCGATAATTTGTTATGGAATCTATATTTTCTTGGAAGCACTAATTGCTGTTGTTGCTAAATATAAAGACACATGGTGTTAGAAGTGTGTTGATGATCTAAGTGTTGATCACTCTAGCATGAAGGTGACACATCACAGGGCTCCTTCACGGTGTTTTGATCATGTGCAGAGTGAAGCCAATGATTCTGACGTGCAGGAGCTGACCTGGAAACTCTGGGTGAATGCTCAGTTGCAGCATCAGGACAGAGTTGTCGGCTTTGACAGATACAGACTCTTTTAATCCTCTATATTCTTTCGTGTGATTGAAAATTTCAATTAGCGCTGTCTTTGGGCTCCGTGGGCCAAAGAAATCGAAGGATGTCATTTTAATTTTCTCATTTGTCCTCATTTACAGCGAGTCACCTGAGACCGGCAAGGTGATTGAAATGTGATTTCACTCAGGCCACGAGCGTCGTGTAACGGTTGAACAGCTGCAATATTGTCTCTGCCTATGTAATTCTCTCCCACCTAATGTAATAGCAGAGCAGCCCTCCGCCCAAAAACTATGAATTGCATTCAATTTAGCACACCACTTACCTCCCTTCTGAGGAAGATCCAATAAGCCTGCTCAATGAGGCACGACCTATTATTGCAGCAACACGACACTTGCCGTGTGGAGCTGAGACAGGACAGTCTGCAGAGCGCTTTGCTGAGTGTCCAGAGAGAAGCACGGCCTCTGAGGGAGACACGTTAGAGTGGACTTCCCTGCCTCAAGGAGTCTCATTCAGCTGATCCCTAAAGACTCTCACATTTAGTGAAGTCAAAATCTGATTTGTAGAAACACCATTTAGTCTGGAAAAGGGTATATTAAGTGCTTAGAGAAAACTTAATTTCAAACTTATCGACAAACTTAAACGAGGTTGTCGAATATGGAACCACCAGGCTAGGGCACATCTGTTACAGCATCTTAAAGCTGTCCTTTCAAATGTCTCTAGTTTTACTTTTATAATTTATTTAAAGCTGCTAAAATACAATTTTTATAGCAACAATTGTTGAAATGGCTTTGCTTATTGTGAAAGTGAGGGCTCTTAGGGATGAACCTGCGGACAATTATCAGTTCCCCTCGGCTGTACGGAGAGTTTTAGTGCCTTTCAGTTCACTCTCGTGGCTCTCACCATGTCTCAAGACTTTTTATGCAAACACGGCCCCAAACATGCAGACAAAGTTATAGCAAACAGTGGCTACACATAGTGAAGCATTCAAGGGATCAGGTTGCTTAAAATGAGTGCTTATATCAGTGATGTGATTAAGTGATCACAATATATATTATTGCAGGTTGAATTTGTCTTTGTAGTCCTTTTATCATCTTTCCAACAGCCATTAATGTGCTATAATATCAAACAGACATTTGCTTCGTCAGCATTGGTCTAGTAGACCTTCAGATCAGCTCTAGTGAGAGATGGAATTGACACTTACTTAAATGCCAATAGTATGACCTTACATCCAGCTATGTGCTTGTTGTACAACAGCAGCCCCACAGAGTTGTTTTTCCACACATGAGGCCTGTATGTGATGTTCATTCCCGCTTCCTGCCCTGAAGCTAGACGTGTAAATCTCTTCCCCACTCTGAAGGACTATATTTGTCGGTCTAGAAACAGGGAAGAATGGCGTTCTCTCTCGATACCACTGCCTTTATATTTATGGGGCATGTCACTTGGAGAATTCACTAGGGTTATTCCTTTTCTGTGGGTTGCAGTCGTGAGGGAAAGGGGGAGCAAGAATATCCGTCTTAGCAGAGGATTTCTAAAGGAACAGGAAGCCAGCATGGTTCACCAGAGAATATTCTTTATCGACAACAACCTGGACTGGTCGAACAACCCAGATGCCCCGAACACAAGCAGATAGAGCAGATTGCTAGGAGGCTCAGGTATATCAATGAGTGCTGCAGACTACATGTTTTATCAATCAGCTGCGGATGGTGAACTGTTTTCTGTTGTGGTGCCTGGGGATGTACCAGTGAGGTAGGATAAACACACTGATAAAAAATAAACAGGTCCATGTCTGAAGACCCCAGGAGGAAGAAGATGTTGGACCTCATCTCCTGAGGTCCAACATCGAGCGTTGAAAGAGCTCTTTTAAGCCAAAGTCAGGATGGACATTGATCCTGGTCAATCCAGAACCGGTGATAGCCAACAGCTGTTGTCAGCTCTGGCTATTTCAGCAATGTGTTAACTTTGCTTTAACCAGTCATGCAGAACAATATTTTTTCTGAAAGCAGGGCTGGAAGAGTATACTTTTGTCCCATTTTGAACATTTGCTCTCTGTATGCAATATGCTTTTTAAAATGCCAGGGCAGTATCACAACAGTCAGGTTCCCTGCTCTCCCTCTCTGTGACAGTTAGTTCAGTTTATCATGGACATATTTGTCCTTCCTCTCATGACATGCAGCGATTTTTCATCCCTGGACGTTGAGCAGAATCTCATGAAATGAGACATATTCTCGGGAGACAAACACATTTTTCATCCCCTGTGGTTTCTCCACCTCAGATAGAGCCATACATGGCACACTGGCAAACATAAACGCCATAGACGTTAACAAACTGGCTTGCTCATTCACTTACATTTAAATATTTGGATATAAGCTTACTTGCTTTTTTGCAAGTAAGCAGTTAGATAAAGTTAGCGAAGGTTGATACCACTGTTGTATCAGTCCAGTAAGGATAAGGCTACAAAAACTAAATGTGAAAACAACAAGTTGTGTTTTTAAAGGGGGTTAAGAGCCGGACTACATCTGTACCAGGACCCTCGAAAAATGAAAACGTCTTAATTGACTTCTGACAGAGCCAGGAATGCTGTTGTCGCCCATTAATAGTCTTTTTGCTAAGCTAAGCTAACGGGCTCGTGGCACCACGTTCATAGTTGCCGTACAGACATAAGAGTGGTATTAATCATCTAACGCTCTGCAAACAAACAAGTAAGCGTATTTTTTTTTTAAAAGTCAAACTGCTGCTTTCATGCAAATCAGTTTGGATTGATTATTAAACAGGCCGAGATTGTAACTCATATCTGAGGCCGGCATCTGCCAACAGCTTCGTTTTGCTCCCTTCAATGGAGCCAAATGTTTCTTTCCCTAATCAGCATCAAACATCTCTCCACTCTCCGTTCTGATGACCCCGATAGCCACAGTAGTTGCAGTTTGTTTCTATGGCAACTGATGGAGATGCAAATAACTTCCTGATTTCCCCTGCACCCTTCCGAGACACTCACTTAATTGCCGGTTCACTTACACACACTAGACCGGCTATTTTCCCTGTCTCAGCTGTCAGTTGAAACTACCGGCTGTGTCCTTCAAGATTATTTTGCGGGGACATCAATCATAACCGCTGGGTGTTCGGGAAGAGAATAAGCATTCTGTTCCTTTCTCATGAATCAGGGCTGGTTTGACTCCAGCTTGTGTGCTAATCTAGAAGGCAAAACCAATCCCTAATAAGCACTCCAGCAAAAATCTTGTTTCCAAACAGTCGCTTGCTGAATTTCTAGTCGGTGCAAGACGGTGATGACATTTACCCTGAACATTTCACGACTTCTAAACACGCTGGATCCGCAGTTCATTGAAGCCCATTAGCGCCTAAATGAAAACAAGTCCTCCAGCTCCTCGCGGATGCACTTAAATCGGTCCAAGGCCGAGTTTGCATCTTGGAATATGTTTGCCGTATACGCTCATGCTAGCGGGGATGTCTTAAAAACCTCGCATTCATCTCCACCGAGCCTGTGAAGTTTCAAGAATATGACTAATACATGAAGAATTCGTGAAGCTCGCCCAGATTCTTTTTGGGGCGCTTAAACCCTGTTGCTGATTTGCTCTTTTGAAGTCTTTCTGCTTGGCAGAGTGTCTCATTAATGGGGCTGTTTCAACAAGGCTCACTGGTGTGGGAGCATGTTGCACAGGAACAGAGAGAGACACTGGAGAATGGAGAGCTGTTGGCGTGGAAATCAATGGTTATCATGTCAGGCAGATGCTTGCTCCTCTCACTCGTCGAGTCAGGACTATTGGAAAGGACTCATGGTGTTTGATTGTTGCTGAGGCCATTTTTATCCCTGGAAAGCTTTCTGCACCTTGATGTGTGTGTGTGTGTGTGTGTGTGTGTGTGTGTGTGTGTGTGTGTGTGTGTGTGTGTGTGCGTGTGCGTGCTTGCTCGGGCATATACTTCTTATTGTGTGTAGATTTGACTCACAAAAATGGAAATAATCATTCTTTTTTTGTATTTGGCAATAACTAAACGATAAATAGATGCCACGAGACAGCAGATAGATCAGACACTGTGGAATTTAGATGTACCGTGAAGAGTTTTCCATTTACACAGTAATACACACTGGTGTCGTTAGTGTAATTGATCTTTTAAGAAAGACTACAGTACACTGCAGTGTTTGGATCATTAGGTATCTCGGGTGATACTTTGTTTTGATTGGAATTCCCCATTCATTATCCCAAGTATGGAACATGTTTATTTTTTCTTCTCACCAACTTCACAGCTGTGTTTCATGTGTTTTCATCATTTTAATGAAATTTGAAGCTATATTTCTTGTCGTTCTTAGATCTACGTGGGATTTAGTGTCCTCCAGATGACATCACTTGTCAAATTAAATAAAATGCAGTTCATTAACCTTCAGGAACTCCCAGCACCAAATTACAGTTTTGGAATATAGAACAATTCAGCTTTGTTTTCCCACAAAGTGACACCTGAAATGTCTTTCAACCCCCCCCCCCTTTGTTTTTTTTTAGATCAGAGGAAAACAAATGGTGCTGAAACGCTATCACTGTGCAGCTGCAAGTTGCAATAACACATATTCAACACAAGTGCAAACATCTGTTGAGTAGGTTTTTATTTGCAGAAGGAGAATAGTCACAGACTCAAAATTCAAGATGTTTTTAGGAAACGATTACCCTTCATTTTCATGCCAAGTATGTGTGCATGTGGAGTTGTTTTCTAGTTGCTTGACAGAAAACAAGACAGAGTTTGATTACACCGACCGGCCTTTTGTTACACCAATAGCACAGTACTTTGCCTCACACTTGTGTATTTCAGAGATTTTCTTGTGCCATTACAGAGGTGGGATGAGTAAAATGTAATAACACTATCTCTAAGTTTTGACCTCATTTGCACTTGCTGTGATTTGTATCTAAATATATTAACTGATCACAGACTTTTGCATTTACGCCTGGCATTAATAATCGTTGTCATTATCTCGATTGTGCCCACATAGTAATCAGATCTCAGCATGCAAATGATATAGAACTATGGGCTTACTTGAGTTTTCATTTGCAAGTAAGGGGTCTTCTGTAGCTTTTTGCTGGACTTGCATGAAATAGAAGGAATGAGAGGAGTTAAATGACCTTTCAAAATGCAGAGAAGATCTTTAACAATGAAGCCGAACAATACAGATTGCATTTACACAGCCTGGTCTCCTAAGGATCCTCGGAGTCCAGAAGTGGTGGGCTGGATCCGATAGCATTTCGGTTGCAATGCATTTGTGCGTGCGTTTACATTTTCCTTATTCTAAAAAGATGTCCAGATACAGGATTTATGTCAAGGATTTTCCGAGAACTTTTATACATTTTTATAGAGATTTTGACAGTAGAGAGATGACAAGAAATGAGAGGAGTGAGATGGGGAAGGACACGCAAGAAAGGCCCAGAACCAGGGACCTTGAAGTTCATGGTCCTTGCATTAAACCCCGTGCCTGGGGGGGGGCGCCCCTATGTAGATAATATTGTAATTTTTACCATCCGTTTAACTTCACCCCTGCACAGGAAGTGTAGCTCAATGAGCTTTATTTGTGTTACTCTGCATTTTAAACATAATTTGTTGCTGGCTGGTCTGTTCAGGTGGTGCATTCATTTGAGGGTCATTGCTCTCAAACTGAGGGAACATGCTGCTTCCAACATGCTTTATCGGGCCCTGAGATTGGACAGCCATAGTGGGAGTAGAAGTACAGCATAAGTGCAGGCTTGAGAAATGAACTGAGACGCCTGATAAAAAAAAAAAAAAATGCTTTTGCCATAAAGCTGTCATTCCCTTGTCACTGTAAAGGCATAACGGAATAAAAGGCCGGGCCTGCTCTCCTTTTACTGAATGACAAGATGACAAGCCTTAAACTGAGTGGATGGCAGGGACACGCTGCGGTGCTCAACATACTGTATATACTCTTGATAAAGTCATCAACACCTCTGCTGTTTATCAATACTGCTGTTTGGAAGCCATCACCAAGACATTCTATATTTATATGTGTGCTTCGTGGAAATGTTAAGACCTTTAAGCACAAAATATGCTATTTATTCTCATGGCTCAAGAACATGACGTGTGACATGTAACAAAATATTGTGTCCTGGAACTAATATTTTGAATGATTTCTTTTGATGTGTTTTTTTCAGTCACATTTATGTATTACATACCTGAGAGAGCACAAGCTCCCCCAGTTTGTATTCCCATCTCTCAAACCATCAATCTTAGAATCACACAGCAAGGAAGCACTTCTACATTTTGACTCGGGAGAAATTGGCCCGGCAAGACAAAACAATGGCTGGAGCTGGAGCGCTTGACGGGGGACTGAATTATTATCCACAAAAGGAAAGCGCTGTTTTTCAGAGATGGTACAGTTGTTTTTTGATGTCGGAACACATTTTCTGTCTTGCCATTGTTCATATGGATTTAGCCGAGCATTTCTGAATCGAACAATAGTATTATGGTTTCACATCGCTGTGTTCGGCTCCTTTGTGTTTTTACCAAAGCTGGGTCAGAATGTTATTTGAAATCCCCACGGGATTACCAACAGACGTAGCGTTTTCAGTGAGTGCTTACAGGCCACTCGCAAAGGCCAATTTAATCCATTTGAAAAGGTTAGCCTTCATCATCTGGCTCAATAGACACTGGAAGTTATTTCAAAATGAAGTCACATGTTGGCTTTTAGTGATTCATCCTATTAACTTTCAGGCTCTAATGAATGTCTCTGTTTTTTCTGTCTGCAGTCCCTCCGGTGTTGTCAATGTTCCAGCAGTCCTTCAATGCCACAGCTGACTACCAGGAATCAGTCACCTTTAACTGCATGACCTCCGGATCTCCTGACCCTGTGGTCACATGGCACAGGTACCTTCTGCTTCCTTAATACCTCACCTCGGTCTCTGATAAACAGCTCAGAGAATACGGTGGGCCCTTTACACACACATACAATTCCATTCTAAAACCAAAATGAGCATGGAGCTGCTGCGCTAACACCCTTTTTCTCCTCTGGGAGTATTTTGGAACCTGGCTGCAGGGATTTGCTCCCATTCGGTCTCGAGAGCATTCGATTAGTTTGGGCGCTGATGTCGGGCGGTTAGCTCTGCCTCGCATTAGCGTTCCAATTCATCCCAAAAGTGTTGGTCGAAATCTGAGCTCAGGCCGGTCAAGTTCTTCCGCAACAAAAGAAAACCATTCCTTTATTCACGTGGAATTTGCACAGGGAGCACTGTTATGTTATAACATTGGAAGCACAATCATGTCTAAGAGAACTAAAGGGTCCAACCCAAACCATGTAAAACAAACAAAAACATCCACATACTTCTGACAGTTATTGTCTTAACCATTTAATTCAAGCTAACCTAACCTCCTTCAGATAACCTACGTGCTACTGCACGTCTTTATTTCTGCCCATGTATGTGTTAATGTGAACAGCCTACAGAGGAATTTATAGTCTGCCCTCGCACATTGGCCTCAGCAGCCACACAATAGTATCACATGCCACGTAGCACCAGTGTGGAAATTTGCACCTAAAGAGCATTTGACTCCACACAATCCACTCTACAGCTCGGCATCCAGTACTTGGCTTGCACCCACGCAGGCAATTGTGACAAGCCTGTTGCACCTTCATTGTCATTCCAGTGAAGTTCATGCTTTTGACTTCTTTTTTTTTTCTTATAAACACACTTGTTTCTTGCTTCTAGTTAATTCATTTGAATGGACCAGAGCTGTGTTGCTGTATGTTTGAGGCTGTTTAGTACAAATCAATTATTCCTCGCATGGTTGCTGACAAAGAGTAGTGTTTTTTCGATTTTTGACTGGGCACTTCCTGCCTTCTAGGCAGCTATTAATTGCACTACAGCGCAAACAAATGCATGGAAACGTTCTTGACGTAAACCATCACAGTGAAGATCACAGTTTTTTCGAAGCTACATTATCCTTGCATGATAATTCAGGGGAGACATTTCAAATAATTCTGAAATGATGTGACATTGACAAGGACGATCCAACATTGTTTTAACTGTGATGTATTACCGGCCTCAGGCAGGTGTCTGCGAGTTGTTTTTCATGCTGTACTGAATTGAATGGAAATCAATGGCTGCCCTGAAGAAAACATAGGAAAAGACTTTCAAAAAGCTGCTTTGAAAAATGGTTGTTGGCAAATTTGATTTGCCTTGAAGGGGCCAAGACATACAAAGTATACGGCAGCATTGTCCTTCAAATATCAATATAATTCTGCAGAACAATCACAAGTCTGTTTTTCTATAACTTCAGCTCCAACAATGAAGAAGGGCGCAGAAAGTAAAATGGTCATTGTTAAAAAAAACACACTTGAATCGAACATAATGGCGCGCAGCAACATTTAAGTGGGAATTCTTAAACACCCACACTTAGCTTTCATTCTTAGCAATTTGAAGTGATTATTTCCTTCTGTAATTACCTTTAATTACCATGTTCTGCAGTCTTTATTGCAGAGTAGAGCAGTTTGATTGTGCTGTGGCTGATTTGTGGAGTTTGAAGTATGAAGTTTGTGGCTAGCAGGTACAAAAAGTGACACAAAGGACATAATTAAAATAAATGTCAGGAGGCACCTCAACTACAAAATGTGTCATTTTCATTTCAAAATTTATTCATTTCTCTCAAGCTTTTGTTGCTCAGAAATGTATTTTCTCATTGATGCATCATTAGCATGCAAAATATTGACAATGCTACACATATAGGAGTATATTTTGGGCACACAAGAGAATGTCGAAGGAGTCAGATGTTCATCACAAGGACAACAAGCAGATATCCTCTTTACATATTCATCACCTCAACCAAGAAGTCACATGTTCCAGCATTGAACCTGATGAGTGCAACTCAAATATCCTGTAAAATCCAACCTGTACATTTGACCCAATACTGGTACTGAAACCTGGAATTTTGTGTGCATCTGCAAAGCTAATGTTAACCAAGACTTATTCTCAACAACAACTTCATTTAATAGCTAATTAATTAGCTGACAATGTCGACGAAGTTGTCGATGCTTCACTTAACGTTTCATCCTCCGTGTTCAGCTTCTTTGGCGCTGGCTGCAGGCGTGCTAACGCCTTGGCTTCCAGGCTATCAAACACAGCACACTCTTCAACTTCTACATCTATTTTGTGTTTGACTAGGCTATGCAGTCCGCAATACAAATATTGCAGCAAATACTGTCTACTCTCAGGTACTGAAATATGGCACCGATTTATTTAATGTGACTTTGTACTCTGTAGTAACGACGTAATTTGGTCGGTACCCTGAAAAGTACAGAGTAATGAGAGCTGAAGTCTCTCGTGCATCACTTTGAAAGAGAAGTTAATCATTGCAGGGCGAAAAAAATGAGGCACGTGCATCACGTTGCGAGGTACAAACACAATTTGAAGACAGCGCACAGCTGGGAACGACTTCAACTTTGTACGTCTCATTCATCTTGCTCTCTGGTTTCCAGCCCCAACAGCAGAAATGATATTTACTCCTGGGTGTGTGTTACCTCGTCTTCTAGCAACAGAGCAAACCAGGAAAATGTGATTTTAATGATTTAACAGCATGCATAATACAACGCGGCAAATTTCACAGTGATGATGGGTGAGAGGTGATGCATTGATTGATTTTTACTTTCATATTGCGACTATCTATGTGGCAGCTTTGTGAATACATAATTAATACATTCCCTGTCACATTCTTTGTGTCACATTAAAAATTTGCGTCATGTTTTGAGTGGTGATTACAAAAAAAGAGTAACCTGTTCACCCGAAGAAAATGATTTGATCCTTTTATGAATGGTATTAATGTATAGCATTGTACAAAGACTCTAGCTGTAAGGCCTCTAAAAGATAATGTTCTTGTGAAGGGCAGATTGCTGCCTCTCACTTTAGAGATGACTTCAACACTGATGTTAAAGTCTGCAGCGTCCACTGGCTGTCAAACATTTCATTGTGTGCTCCTTCATTTCCCAGGTCAGTAAGTCCTGCGTGTCAATGCGAGATTACAGAATTAAAATGTGCACAACACAACAAAAGAATCGGCTTAGGCGTAAACAACAATCAAAACCCAATTTAGTTTTGCTTTTGATGTCACCCCTCCTCCCAGCCTCCTCCCGGCCTCCCAGTTGCATTTCCTGTCAGCGCGAGGTTTTGCGTCGTCCTCTGTGCGTCTTGGGTAATGGACTACCTGTCAGCAGTCAGTCAGTGTAATGACATTCAGTGCTGCAGCCCGTCCTGCACTGTCCATTCCAAAGATGAGGCTTCTCTTCATTTCCTTTTCGGCTCGCCAGAGTTATTATTACTTGGCTTTGGTGTTTCCTCCGTCGACTTTCAATTATCCTCCCTCCCGCTTTCCCCACAGTGCAGTGTGGCCCAGTGTGGCCCAGTCTAGAGATCTGCACAGCTAAAATAATACAATTGTTTTTATTTTTCACTCACACAGTAGACTATACGGGCTGAGACCATATAGAGGAGTCTCTAAATATATTCAGAGTTATGTGTTATTCTAAGCTCTGTGCTTCTGAGCTTTTGAATTCAATTTGCACACTAGCTTATGAGGTTAAAAGAAAGGGGGCCAGATTCAGATTGAGGGCATTATGATCCATATTGAATGATCAGGTAAAAATAAGAATGTCTTTTCATACGTATTCTTCAAGCTTTTGGGTGGATTAGAAATAAAGTGCGACTGATGATATTGTAAGCTGTTTTCTTGGTATTTTTTTTATCCAATGCCATACTGATTTTATTCTTAAGAATCTCTCCCTGCTTCACATAGACACAGATACAGTACATACACTCAGCTGGGATGTGGCCAGTACAACCACCACTGGTCATTGAAGCAGCTGGAGGTTAAGTGCCTTGCTCAAGGACACATAGATTATAGTTGTTAAGGGAGGAGAACATTACTTATTCATTTTGGCCTTCTGGGTTTTGTGAGCTTCAAACCACTTATCTACCAGCCACAACACACATCTGAATGTCTGACCTCCAGACGATGAACTCTCTGTTTCCACTGGATCAGATTCTTCTCTAACCTCTGCTTCTGTCTGAAAAGGACAGTTTACTTTCGTTTTCTTCTTATACAGATGAGACTAACTCATAGATAGCAACATTAACAATCATTTTGAGCCACTGAGTCACAACATAAATACAAATTTCACTTGTTTTTTTGGTGTTTTGGCCAAATCCTGAGAGAAATATCTGGCTCTTTGGAGGCTACACGCTCATCTGTCTGTCATCTGGTGCTTGGCACGGTGTGCACAGTGGATTTATCCGAGCTATTTCGCTAAAACAAGCTGCCGACATGGTTGGTGAGAGCGGAGAGACTGAACCAAAACATTGAAGTTGCGGGCCGTGAAACCGGAAACATATTGAAAGATGCTAAAGCTGAGATGAACTGTGGAGTCAGGGGATGATTCACATTTCACATTTGACGCGTTAATATAAAAAATATTGATCAGTGCAGCTTTAAGAAATTGAATCAATATTATTTCTTCTGCATGATGTCGCTGCAGGTAACAATAAATGAATGAAATGAGTGACTTTGCTTTTTTTTGTTAGTTAACCGTCCATGAATCTTTGGAGGAATTTAAAGTGTATTTCCCTTTCTTTTGGAGGCTTTGCTGAACCCATTGACGTCCAGTCATTGCGCTAGTCTCATACTTTTATAGCATAAAAAAAGCACCCATGAGTTTGTCTAAATCTGTGTTAAAAAGGGGGGGGAAAGTCAGACTCCGCCCAAACTGGCGATCCCTTTAACCTTACGGATTGCACGGCTGGTTTAAGCTGCGGTAAATAAACAAGCGGGGGAGGCTGCAAGCCCGCTTCACACCATTACGCTTCTGCTATGAAGCTTAAATATAGACATGGATCAATTTAGCCGTTGCTTTTTTTCCTGACTAATTTCCCAACAGAGTCTAATAAGAAAAGACATTAAGTCAGCACTGTGTTCCACAACCACACCGGAGTCATTCAGTGAGCGCTGCTGTCTTAAACTGAATGCACACAACAACACAAGTGAGACTCAAACGTTGACGGAGAATACGAGTTTGAGAAGTCGTAGAGTGCGAAGAATTCTGATAACATACTACAAATGATTCATTGAACTATTGTTCTTCAATTAAAGTACGATATGTCTTTCCGAAACAATACTCTCTATTATACTTGAAAGGATTTCTATAAAAAGTGCTGTCATGTTTTGGCCTGTTTAGGTGCTACAGAGATAGAAATAGCTTCAAAGTCAAGCTGTCTGCACTTAGTCTCTCTTTTATGGGATCGGTTGACAACCAAAGTGCTAAGATTATACATCTGTAACATCAAACGTGCTGCAGAGTGAATTTTGCGGAGGTCACTGTCAGGTGGGTGTTGGTTTGCCATATTCTCTTGCCGTCGTCGCTCATCTGCGGAGTGTGCTTCTGCTTTTTGTCTGTGCAGGAAAGGGCAGGAGCTGGAGCAATCTGAGCAGTATATTATCATCAGGCTGGACGGAGGGCGAAGCATGCTAACCGTCCGCAACATCCGACAGGTCGACGGGGGCTCCTACACTTGCAAGGCCACCAACAAGGCAGGATCTCAGGCGAGAGAGATCTTCCTCAAAGTGTTTGGTAAGCATGTTTAAGTTGACAACTCCTCATTCATCCGTATTTTTTGAGTTTCGGGTTAGAAACAAAGTGCGTATTGTCGTCTGATGAACCATTAAACACATTACTCTGATCCGCAGGTTTAACGCAGGGGCTGCTTTCAGACTGATGTCAAACCTTTTAAGATATAGTCCGTTTTTTTCTTTTGTCGGGTGGATGGACAGAGCAAACAAACGCAGGACGTTCACCAAGGAGACCGCTGTCTGTGACGTGTGAGGTTGTTTCACTGAAAAATAAAATTGAAAGAGATAAAAACAACAATCTCTCTCACCTCTGGTCGAAAACAAGCCATAAAAATAGTTTTAGAAGTACATTTTAAAAACTGAACAGACATCTCTTTGCATCTCTTTTACTGTGGATAATCTAAACATAACTGTAAACAAAGATTCATAGGGACTATTTCTTTAATATAAAGTAGTTGGACAGATAAAACCCAAACTACCTGCATGGATAGATATCTCGCAATGTAAGTGGAAAACTTTCTTTTTCCTAATTTGGCTGAATTGACTGTTTAATCTGGTTTAACCTTAAATTACACAACAAAATAACACAAATGCTTCCCATCATTTAAGTTTGTTTTAATTTGACATTATCTGTCATGTAATGCTCCTCCAAAGCTCTTAAGTATAATTGCATTGCCCATGACAGTGTTTTATGTTGATCCATAAAGCTTTATTGTGAGGACCTCCACAGTTCATAAAAAATAAAGAAGCACAGATGTCCAAATAGCCCTCAGCCCACAACAATAACAACTGCATCAATATGATATAGCTCTGCTGAAAGAAAATATCTCATCTATTGCTTCATATTTCATTTACTGCTCTCCGAATAAAATAATTCCATTTCTATTTTCATAAACCTGCTGGCTATTTCCGCACGGATCACTCTGATAGTGCATATTCCGCTCATGGAAATGTATGGAGATTTGTGCTCCTGTCATCAACATCCTTCCAGGATGTGAGAAGTGCTTGTTCTTCAGAATGCACATTTAAATGAAAAAGTTAAGTGTGCGGGGAGGAGTTGTGCTTTGGAGTGTGCGGCGGGGGAACGCAGTTGTAAATTAGTTTTATTGCCCTTGATAGCACAGGCGGGTGGAGAGCAGGACATTGAAGTTAAGACAAGGTGTGTTTGCAGATGTGCTCTTCACTCAGTGCTTCATATTTAATGTCAGCCGCATTTCCATTTGCTTTTTGCTTTGTTTTTCTATCTTTCCAAAAAGAAAATACCAGCCAACCAAAGATAAGTGTTGCGCTGTCGGCATTTAACTAATCATGTCCAATTATGGTAATGCTAATAAATAGTTAAAGCTTAAATGTTATGATCACAAACATCACAAGCTTAGACATGAGCTCCTTTCTGTTACTGCATGGTTATAGAGTGATAACATGAGCAGAGGCAATACGAGTTTCAGCCCAAAATGAGGTGAAGGACACAACAAAAGAAGGTATGATTCAGGAGGAAAAAAAATATATTTATTTTCAGTTTTCAAAGCTGCGGCAGCTTCTGGGTATTCACTTCCACAGATGGGTTTCTACATGTGGACCAATGACTATTTGTTGCCACAATTGTAGCAATTAATTGCTTGAAGCCATTTCATTCCTATTTCACATTCATCCACTTTCACATCTGGGGGTCCAGTATCAGCACAGCGTGCTGCTATCAGTCTTCAGGGATTATGTCGTTTATGGCTCCGGGTCACTTGTTGTCGTGAGGAAGTAATCCCCTGCTTATACGATAAGAAATAGCTGCATTGCATTTCTTGGCCAGTTTTTGTTCGCCGGGGCCTTTTACATTGTTTCCACAGAGAAGTACAAAAAACGTGGACAACATTAAACAACGCAGTTTGAGAGCGGATAACTTCTAAATGTCAGGTTTTCTTAGAAGAGCAAGGTGCTTCTTTCTAAACTCTCCATTAGTCATCAGCATTCAGCAGCCACACTGGGAAGAATGTATCACATAAAGGAGCAGAGAAGCAGAAAAAACAAATGCAAAGCACAGTTTGACATACAGTTTATAATGGAGGAGTCTGACGGTTAAAGCCACTAAGCTTTGAGGAGTTAACAGAGGCGTCAGGGACGACAGGAGAGAATCTATACTGACATTTACTTTGTTTATCTGTGCAGCTGAAACAACAAATACGCACATCGTGTCATTATCAGATACCGTCAGCACCATGTTACATTTTCTGATACCTGGCTGTAGGATCTTTATGTCACGTAAAATATTGCTATAAAGGAATGGAAATGCTGTTCGGCTGCAGAAGAAAGCAGCAACTAGATTAATGGTCCACAAAACAGCAAGACATGTTAAAGTAGGCATCACTAATTATTTTCTTTATCCCGTCACAAGCCAACAATGAGTCAAACTGTCCACATTTGTATTTATATATATTTATGGTGTTAAAAAGCTCCAGCAGTTGTCATTATGTCCCTTTCTGCTCAACACTGAAACCATGAATGCCCTTCTCACAGAGTGAGGGCAAGACTGAGCCTCTTTTTTATGCAAAACGTGTCGGCACTGACAACATTTGCAGTTTAATTATTATAATTAATGTATTAAAGTGTAATTATAGTTGTTAACAAATGCTGGAATAAAATATTCTTGTTTTTAATAAGAATGGGTTATTAAAAAAACTCATTTAAAATCACGCATCAAGCTGAAATGAATAAACTTTGTAAGAAATACCCTAAACCTGGAAGATCAAATTAATTCTGGATTTTTATCTTTCTAGCACTCGAATGCTGCTCGGTTCTTCCCCGTTTAGAGTTGACAATGTTTTAGATAATGTGTCATTAATAATGTTCCCTGCAGAGTGGTTTTGCACCATGCTTGATAAATGAGACGTTTTCCATTTAATATTTGCATGATGAAGGGCACCTGGGGCAAAACGGCTGCAGATAACGGCGGTGATGAGGAACCGGCTCAGACCGGTCTCGGAACTATTAAGAGTTTCATCCACGCGCGTGTGTGTGGGTCGGCTTTGAATGCGCATTATTGAGGGGAAGTGCCTACATGCGTGTTTGTGTCCAACACAAAAGGCCCTGCGAGGTTTAATAGATGTAGACGATCAACCTAAGTGCTCCAGAATTGAGCTCATTTGTTTTTATGAACAAGTGAAATGATTGGGCGTGGTAGCATGTACAGCTAAAACGATTGGAGTCGGGAATAGGTTTAGTTAACTAACACAGCTTTGTATATATACTGGTACGGTAAGGCTCTATTCTGAGAACATTGATCTATGCACTGAAGCTCCCTGCAGGTATGTGTGTGTTTGTGTGGCCCTATGTTTTGACAAGCTCCCAAAATCCCTAGAGATGGCGCCTCCACCTTCAGGCTGAAGCCATGTGGAATTGCCAAACACTCTGCAGATCCCTCCTGGGCGGTGTTAAAAGCCTCCAGTACAGTAGTCACTATTTCCCATTCACTACTCTTTTCCTTTTGGATTTTATGCCATGCTACATTGCAAGCACCCTGTTAAGGATTTAAGTGCTGTGTGTGTGTGTGTGTGTGTGTGTGTGTGTGTGTGTGTGTGTGTGTGTGTGTGTGTGTGTGTGTGTGTGTGTGTGTGTGTGTGTGTGTGTGTGTGTGTGTGTGTGTGTGTGTGTGTGTGTGTGTGTGTGTGTGTGTGTGTGTGTGTGTGTGTGTGTGTGTGTGTGTGTGTGTCTGTGTGTGTGTCTGTGTGTGTGTGTGTGTGTGTGTGTGTGTGTGTGTGTGTGTGTGTGTGTGTGTGTGTGTGTGTGTGTGTGTGTGTGTGTGTGTGTGCGTGTGTGGGGGGGAAGAAGCAATCCATGATTCATGTGACATTCTCAGTGGCCGTGCCATGCATGAGGTTTCAGGCCTGGCTTTATCAGGAGGAGGCGAGCGGGGGAGCAGGTCCCAGCAGCACTTATCGTGGTGCTCGCTCTGCGTCAAATTCACACGGTTGCCGGAGAGGCACCCTTCCTGACAAAAATCTATATATTTTTTTAAACAAAAAAGGTGGAACGCACACAGAAGGAGAGGGGGATTTGATTTTTTTTTCTTTAAAACTTTTGCAAAGTCAGTTTTTGTGTTGTCGTCTAGGCCAAGAAATGTGCACAAAACAGGCCAGAGGGCAGCCCAAAACTGTGGAGTGTAGAAATGATCTTGGCCTACACTGTCAGTACCAAAGTCATGCATCAGCTCTGTGTTTAAACCCCCGTGGTATAGCCTTCATCTCCCCTCCCTTATGAGTTAGATCTTTGACAGTTTCTGTACCGCTCACCCTTTTACTTACACAGTCCTCCCTCCTCCCTCACACCTCCTCCCCCTGCCTTTCAATCTATTCGTCTTCACTTATGTCATTTTTATATCTGTTACTCACGTCCTTCTCCCCTTCGTCCTCTTGTGGCCTCCAGTCCAGCCCCATATCACCCAGCTGAAAAACGTGACAGCCGTAGAGGGCAGCGCCGCCATGATCTCCTGCGTGGCTGAGGGCGAGCCTCTGCCCGACATTTCCTGGAGGAGAGCCAGCGACGGCCAGACCTTCGTTGACGGAGACAAGGTAGAGACTACCAGAAAGTCCATCTGGCTCTGTGTGGTTGTTGGCTATAACTTTACATACACACACATAGGATGTATATATTACAATATATACACAGGGCATATAGACAGAAGAAAAACAAATGTATATATTCAAAATCTACAAATTTTCCAACATGTAGATGGCATTTACTTGATTTCACTCCAATCCAGTGCAACCCTAACACAGACGTGACCATAGAGTTGTCTACTGAGTTGAGCATGCTAACCAGCTAGCCGCAGCCGCTTGTACGTCACTGTAGAGACCAGTTTGTCCTCAGTTCAACAGGAGAGGACAAGAAGTAGAGCTGCCCCGAGGGCTTGTCAATAATACATCCAGGGTCTGTGTGGTATTACAGGTGGGGCGCAGGGGGAAATGCAGAATTTTTTGATTTCAAGAACTTTATTGAGAACTTCACATATTACAAAAATACAAAGTAAACCGAAATAAAACTAAGTCATTAATAAATACATGGCGAAATGCCTGTACTTTCTGTAAAATGCCGTTAACAGGTTACACTTGCGCATGCGCGACGGGCAAGATCCTTGGCGACACATGTGTAGCTTAGTGTGCAAAATGAAGAGACATTATCTCAAACACTGAGTGAGTTCTGGCTCGGTGTGGAGAGGGAGCATCCACTCATCAGACAGAGGGCTGCGGGCATTCTGCTTCCCTTCGCCACATCCTACCTCTGTGAGGTCGGCTTTTCTGCTGTTGCCTCTCTCAAAACAAAATACAGATCTAAGCTCAACATTGAGCATGAATTGAGAGTGGCCGTATCAAGTCTGCAACCCCATTTTAAAAAGATTTGTGGTGGAAAGCAGGCTCATTGCAGCCACTAATACTGATAAAACGTGATGGCTCACACATATCTGCACTCATTTTCTTTTCTTTTGCACGGCTTGCACGTTATTGTTGTTTTGAAAAGATATTCAGTGCAAAACAGCTGAATTGCAGCCACAATAAGCTATTTTTTGCCAAATATGAGTTGTTTTTTTGCATAGATAGAACTTTATTTGCATTGTTCTAACAAAGCGATTGCACATTGTATTTGTTTTTGTCTGATGGAGCAATCTGGTTTACGAGAAAATGATTGCAATTTTCTTTATTCTATTATTTGAAAAAGCACAGATGGAGGAGTCTCAAAATGTTATTTCAATAAAAGTTCAACATGGACCGTTTTGTTGCAATTTTGTTGGGGCGGTGGGGCATGAACATTTTTCTTCCTCCAAAGTGGGGCGTGACAGAAAAAGTTTGAGAACCACTGGGTTAAAAGCTTAATAAATGACTAAAACAAATGTTGCAACGTGGTCATGCAGCAAAGGCAATATAAGGGAGTACACGTGAGATGTTTTTCTTCTGTTTTCATTCTCATGGTAACCATTAAAATGTCCCTTTTTGTATTTACAGAGAGAAAATTGGATTGTTTGAGCGTAATGTGTTTGAGTGCTAAAAGAAATAGCCGACATTAACACATATACAGCGGGTAAAATAAGTATTGAACACGTCACCATTTTTCTCAGTAAATATTTGTTTGGATTTCTTTGTATGTATGGATTAATTGGGTTGTTACCGACATCTGGTGAAAATTTCATGTCAATAGCACCTTTAGAAGTATATTTTCTGAGAAAAATGGTGACGTGTTCAATACTTATTTTACCCGCTGTATGTCCTCTTAAAAAAATAAAAGCAGATATAATCATTCCCACCTGCCATACATGAAATTTTGCTCAAGGCCTGCCTATTGGCGGATTATTACATTTAAGTGCTTATAGTTGATTGTCGACTTTCCTTTCATCATCAGAATGGAAAGCTCCTCGAGAAAGCTAACTCTGTACATGTACAGTGCGTTTGCTTTGCCATACCATTCAATCCCTCAAAGGCTCTTTATCAAAGCTTCACTCAAATAATACAGTCACCTTGGTCCATGTTTTTTTACAGGGCATGTTTAAATCTCTCGACTTTGCTGAGATTATAATCTCAAGGGAAATCAGCGGACACATTTATTTTGATTAGCTCTCAGCACAAAGAAGCAGCAAGAACCTTGAAGTTTTCAGGGCAAACGTTAATACCTTCAATTTACTCATTGGTTCCTACCTGTCTTTGACTCAGCGACATTTATGTAGTCCAACCACAGCAATTGAAAATACACTAAACTACTGTTGTGTATTCTTCTCTCAGAGGCCATCATTCACTTTATCCATAAGGACCGCCTCACAAATCAGGACTTGAATGAGCTGCAGCCACATTTTCTTGGAAACGTAATTATTCTTGAACGAGCTGCCATCAATGTCAAAACCATATGCACCCCCATCACAGCCTCCCTGGCAAGGGGACTGAAGCTTTCGCAGAAGAAGAAGAAAAAAAAAAAGCAAAGATGGCAGCCGTTCTTTTGCTCAGGAAAAAAAAAGGTCACCGCGGAGATAAATGAATGTGTGCATTGGCTCGAATCGCTCGGGTTGATAAATCACAGCCGAAAATGAGAGTAAGTGCTTCTCTTCCCACAGCAAATGCAATTATGGAAATGCGTAGTGCAAACCAAAACACCTAAACATACGCAAAGACAAACACGGCTCGAGCAGCACGAGGCATGATGGATGGCCGCAGTCATTTAGGTTTAAGGCAGGATGTTCCTCTCTCAATTTGCTCTCCAATCTGCATATCCAGTCTGCACACACTCCTCTCTTGTTGAGAGACGTTTAGCTTCAGAGAGCTTAGTTTTACTCACTGCATAATGTTGCTTCCATTCTTCTCATTCTTTGCCAACTAACACCTTGACCCTCGGTAAGAGAACATAATGGGATGCAGTTCCTGGAATTTAATTATGAGCCGGGAAAGGATTTGAATCGGGGTATTGTTTCACTCCTGTGGTATTGTTCTGCTTATGAGCAAAGTTAGCAAACCGCACTGTAGCATCGTTCTATTCATTCGTAACGGCCAAAGCTGAAGAGCTACTGACATTAGACGTCTGTACTTTTGCTTAGGCATGGACACAGGTAACCGACAGGTTAACATCAGTGGGTGAGTACTCACTTGGACCTCTGCCGAAGTCCAAGAGAACATGCAGAACGTGCTATTTGAAGTCCACAAACATTGCAATGTGCATAAAGATATTTGAGATAAACTGGAGAAGGGATTCATGCACACAGTAGATCAGTGTCGAGTCAAAGTGAAAAAAACTTCACCAGCAATATTTCAAGGTCTGCAATTTACTGTGCGACACAAAACACAAATTTGATCTTTTGATTTAGAAAGTTTTTTATTTGGTCCTTTTCAGAAGTCAAGCTTGGAGTTGCATTTGTGTGGATTCATGCTCTTCTCGAAAGACGTTTCGCTATAAATCCTAGACAATATCAGACTCCCACACTCGTTGAGATTATTGTTTTGTTTTTTTGTTTGACACCTGGTCACAAAATCAGCAAAAACTGAACCGCAAAGTCCAGTCAAAAATGCAAAAAAAGTGATGTTTAGGCGAGGACTTGCTGTTTCTGCCCCTTGTTGGCCTCCATTGCCTTGAAACAGAATGCCAAAATTAAATTCTGTTGTGACGAGGATGAGGTGGTGCGGTAATCACTGTGGTGCAAATATGAACTCCATTCAGCACCATCGGCAAACTGTTTGAATAAGCACTGCTCGCAAGAATTACTACAGTGTATTTCCAGCCTCGCTGACATTTACAGCTGACATTTTTAATATCTGAAAATACTCCAGCATTTGGGCTGAAATAACACAGGAACAAGTCTCCGGAATCCCACACGAGAGATTGCATTCGAGATTTAGCTTCATTGTAAACACAGACGCTCTCGTTTTTTAAGGTGTTATGGATCAGACAGCGACGGACTTTCATATCATATCGCTTATTCCATATTTTTGCACTCCTTCTGCTCACCTGCTTGTCCTTTCATCTCCTTCCAGTTCCTCTTTTCCCTCAACTTCCACATTTCGTCGCCTTCCACCACTTACCGTTTACAGTATGTGTGAGCGAGCACGCCGTTGCAGATATATACGCATGTGTGCTGTGTGTGGCGACGGGTCGCCGTTGTGTTCACGTCTGGCCGCCTGCCTTGTCGTTCGACTGAGCTGCATATCAAACAGGCTGTGCTTTAGGGGCTGAGTTTGTCTCTAGACAGACCCTGTCAGTAGGCAGAGGAGGGTGTGTGTGTCGGGGGGGGTTAGCAAGTAATTTCCTGACTCAGAAGCTCCCTCCTGGAAGATTTCCTCTCTTTCTCCTCCCTCCTCCTCCTCCCTCTCTCACCCCCCCTATTCCTCAGCACATTCCTATTCAAGACACACACTCCCAATCCCATCGACCCCAGCTGGCGAGGCAAACAAGCAAAGTGTGCAGTGGCAGCACAAAGAGTCCAGAACCGAGCCTTTAAAAGCTGCTTCACCTCATCGCTTGATAGTATTGCAGTGATGGGAGCAACGATAAGCCATTCTGAACAGGATAATGCCAGAGCAGTCTACGAGCGACAACATAAAGAGAGTGTGATTCAGAAGAGGGGGGGCCTCACGGCCGAGGCTCATGAGGCTTAGACATGAGTATTAGCAGAGGCGGGGGGGGGGGGGGGGGGGGGGGGGGGGGGGGGGGGGGCGTTAGAAGGGTCTGGATGTGCATTGATTTACTGTGGAAATCTATGGCGTGCGAGGTGTGCAAAATGTGCACACACTTTTTTACCAAAGACTTGCTTATAAATATGCAAATGCACATAAATAGATGGGAGCACAGACGCACATATACATACGTGTACATGTGCAGACACAATGCTCTGGAGGTCACAAAGTAGGAGAAGGGCAACAACTTACTCCTGCGCAGAGCCAGGCTAGCTGTTTCCCCCTGTTCCCAGTATTTATGCTAAGCTAAGCTAACTAGCTCCTGCAACATGTTCAGCATGCAGGCATGAGTATCTACCTCACAACTCTTTCCAAGAGTTAGACGAGAAGGTTGATGGAGGAGTTGGAAACTGTTAATTACAGTATCTCCTGGAGGACATGAACGCAGCATTACCCATCCTTCCTGAGGAATAAAAACATAAGTGATATAACAGATTTCCTGCAGCACTATTGCATATCCTGTATATACAGTACGATGCCACAAGTATTACACCCCCCAAAGCATTGTGGGATATTCCTTTGCTAAATAGGCTTACTGGGAGCCTGATTTGAATCTCAGCTTTAGCTTTTGTTTTATTTTAGTTCCAATTCCTTTATTAAGAACAAACTCACAATACTAATTTGATTGCAATCCTGCATTAACTCTCAGGCCTTGAGCTGAATAACTTCCATTCTATTTTAACTCTATTTAAGCTGTTTATCCAAGTTGACTTAATTAGACGGCAACAATGTGGAAAAAGTGGATGTTTTCAGTCACCAGTCCTGTCCAATCAAGATAAACAGGTGTACACACACCTTTGTGTGTGTGTGTGTGTGTGTTGTTTTACAGCCACAAAGCCTCTGAGCAGTGTGTGTGTCCACTCCTTAAGTCTTGTACATAAAACCTGTCCACGTCAGCAGTAATAGGACCTGTGTCTCAGATTATACAAGCTGGTCCATTTCAGCATCACTTAGCAGTGCAATCAGGATATGTTACTGCCAGCACTGATACCGATGATTTTTATTTTTTTGCTACAAAGGCTTCAAGAGCTCTGGATAGATTGCCACCCTAATGTATGCCATGTACCGTTTGGTCGGTACTTACATTGAAAATACCCCACGGCACTCTCCGACTCTATGAATAATAAGAAGAACTCAACTAAAACTCTGTTTCCTATTCATGGCGGTGCCTCGTCTGCGAAAAAGAGAATGTCGAGACAACTTCTTCATTACATATATATTGAAGAAGAAACACTGTCGCAATCAAAAGCCTTTGTGTTCATCTGATTTATTGAAACTGATGCAGGACTCTTTGGTTTGCAAAGGCTACTCTGCATGAATAGGAATTAAATGCATATTTTTAAAAAAGTGGCATTGTCTGGAAGTAGTTTATGCAGTGAATCCGATCACAACGAAAACCCTGCTGCAGCTCTCTAATGCACCGTCGGCAGGGCCTCTGAAAAGTAGTTTCTTGGGGTGACAAAGGTTATCTGTTGGGTAACAGTCTGGAGGCTACAGCTGTATGGTGTCTGCAACACGGATGCTGCTGGGGGTGTTTTTTTTCTCATTAGAGTGAATGTCGATTACTGGAATGATAGCCTTGTCTGCTGTAATTCACCCGTTGCTTCAAATTGATACCATCTGTCTTCATACAGATGTAATGACCTTGTAATAAATCGACAGTTTATTGCATTAACCCCGACTCTGTGTGACAAGGGAGGGTTGCCTGCGAGGGGGGTCAGAATGGATCAAGGGGCCGACATTCAGTCGTACAAAGTTGGACGGGGAACTTTCTGCTAATTACTTGGCGACAGGGTCGGCCTTTCTGGAGTCCTTTTGTGTGATGTTTGCTTTGTGTTCCCCTCTTCATAACTCAATCCAGCTTTACACAATCATAGGTACATACAGTTGTGTGAAAAAGTGTTTGCCCCCTTCCTGATTTCTTATTTTTTTGCATGTTTGTCACACTTAAATGTTTCAGATCATCAAACTAATTTAAATATTAGACAAAGATAACACAGGTAAACTCAAAATGCAGTTTTTAAATGAAGGTTTTTATTATTAAGGGCGAAAAAAAATCCAAACCTACATGGCCCTGTGTGAAAAAGTGATTGCCCCCTAAACCTAATAACTGGTTGGGCCACCCTTAGCAGCAACAACTGCAATCAAGCATTTGCGATAACTGGCAATGAGTCTTTTACAGCGCTGTAGAGGAATTTTGGCCCACTCATCTTTGCAGAATTGTTGTAATTCAGCCACATTGGAGGGTTTTCGAGCATGAACCGCCTTTTTAAGGTCATGCCACAGCATCTCAATCGGATTCAGGTCGGGACTTTGACTAGGCCACTCCAAAGTCTTCATTTTGTTTTTCTTAAGCCATTCAGAGGTGGACTTGCTGGTGTGTTTTGGATCATTGTCCTGCTGCAGAACCCAAGTGCGCTTCAGCTTGAGGTCACGAACAGATGGCCGGACATTCTCCTTCAGGATTTTTTGGTAGACAGCAGAATTCATGGTTCCATTTACCACAGCAAGTCTTCCAGGTCCTGAAGCAGCAAAACAGCCCCAGACCACCACACTACCACCACCATATTTTACTGTTGGTATGATGTTCCTTTTCTGAAATGCCGTGTTACTTTTACGCCAGATGTAATGGGACATACACCTTCCAAAAGGTTCAACTTTTGTCTCGTCAGTCCACAGAGTATTTTCCCAAAAGTCTTGGGGATCATCAAGATGTTTTCTGGCAAAACTGAGACGAGCCTTTATGTTCTTTTTGCTCAGCAGTGGTTTTCATCTTGGAACTCTGCCATGCAGGCCATTTTTGCCCAGTCTCTTTCTTATGGTGGAGTCATGAACACTGACCTTAATTGAGGCAAGTGAGGCCTGCAGTTCTTTGGATGTTGTTCTGGGGTCTTTTGTGACCTCTTGGATGAGTCGTCGCTGCGCTCTTGGGGTAATTTTGGTCGGCCGGCCACTCCTGGGAAGGTTCACCACTGTTCCATGTTTTTCACGCCACTGTATGTGGCAAATATAGTATCGCAAATAAATCGCCCTATTATACATAATAACTATAATCTTCTGTCTGATTAGCTTCTCTCCCTGGTGCTACAAATATTGTGTTTTAGTCATCAACCAAACCACTCATTAAGGGCAATAACTGAGTGTAAATTATAGGGATGTAAATGACAACTCCTTGTCACTCAAGACTTTCCACAAATAAACCAAACAGCCAGAATTTCTGGCCTTCTCTTGCTTGACAGCTTAACAGAGGAGCATAACAATAAGCTGCATACGGGTGTGTTTGCATCCTCAGAGTCAGGACGGACGCTTCGAAGTCCGCGGACGCCACGGCAAGTCGGTGTTGACCATCAGCGGCGTGAGACTCGCGGACCTGGGTCGGTTTGACTGCGAGGCCCTGAGCAGGATCGGAGGTCATCAGAAGAGCATATTCCTCGACATTGAGTGTGAGTATGTTTAACGCCTGATCCGTGTTTAGAGGTGCTGCACACTCGCACAGGTGTTTCCAATTATTCCTGCTAATTAGCTGGCACAGTCTGTCCTGAGCAGAGGTCTGATCAGCCAACGAAAGTGAAAACACCTGTGTGGCTGCACATTTCACAATCTGATGTTCCTGATAGGAAAAATTAAAAAATTTAAGGAAGGGAAGTCGTATTTTTTTGTACATTTTTCGACTTCAATCTTTGAAAACCTTGAATTTATTTCTCTTCCCAGGCTTCGTAATTGTATTTTATTATTTTACCTGCAACAGCAGCGCGTTCCCCACTGTAGGCTTACGTATAATTTACAGAATAAAAAAAAAAAAAGATTTGTTACGCACATTGCAGCATTGGTTTACAGCACAGGAAACAACATTTTTAAGTGCAGTGAGTAGATGTCGGTGCTTATTATTTACTGCAAGGGGAAATGTTCAAGCAATTAGATGTGTAACATTGTCTTTGGGCAAAATAAATAAGGCTGTTACTTTTGGGGCCCAGGTGGCCTGCCATAACCCCCACAACTCCTCCACACTGCATTTCCATTAGTGCCATCAGATCCCTAATGTGGAAATGAAACGCGTACACGCATTTAAGCAGTCAAATCAGCAGGAAACACGTGCACCCCTGCAGTCTTGTTCGGAGTTCAAAAGTTCACCGTGCTTATTTCTAATAACTCTTTTCACACTGTGGCTGTTTTTCTTTCTTAAGATCATTATATTATTATAAACAACTCACCCCCTCACCACACACACAGCCTTCAGAAGGGGTTAATTACTGAGAGGATATCATGCGTCGCCTTTTGTTTTTCCCCTGCTGACAGCTCCCCGACTTCCCCATGAGCGCACCCATTCCTCAGCACTGGTTGTTGGGGGTTATTTGGGGCCGGCTATCCCCTGCTTAATGAGCTCTGAAGTAAAGATCTCCATTTTGGCCTCGGAATTATTAGGTTCATTATGAGAGCGGCTCTGTTGCCTGAAGGAGACCAATGGAAAGTGCATTTTTTTTTGGTAGCAGCATTATTTCCACCTTGAAGCTCAGAGGAACAACAAGAGAGAGGGCAGACAAACAGATCTACTCAGAGGGACAGTGAGGTTAAAACAAATAAATAAATACTGCATCTTTGTTGTCATGTGGAAAACAATTTACTCCTCCTCTGGCTGAGGTGACTCTAAGGTTCATGGATTCCCCGTTTTGCATAGTTGTTGAAAAGTTGACATTTCCGAAAAAGTTTAATGAAATCGTCGTGGAGAAAAAAAAAAAAGAAAAAAAGACACTCATGCATTCACACTCTCCAACACCGAAGCAGACTCGACTCCCTCTCTGCAGGAAGACAGACTGTGAGTGTGAGTGTGGCGGGGCTGAGCCAGCCGTTGCCACCAAACTAATGAACTCATTTACTAAGTCAGTGCAGGCTGCAGGGGGATAACGCGTCCTCGGCTGTGACAGAGAGCAAGGCATCAATCTCTTTAATGGAATCCTGCAAGCGAGCATACAACAACCATTATGCCTCTCCGACTGAGCTGGGCTGACTGGGCCGAAAGAAATCTGCACGATAGCCCGCCACACCGCAATAGTGAATTACTGCCCCTTCCTATTGGCTTGGGCAAATGAGCTTCTGTTGCATCCTTTATTTTTATTCTTGGGGAGATGATCATAATGGAGATGCCCCCTCCAGCATGCAGTGGCTTCAATTAAGTCTAAGTCTTTCTTTTTAACATTGCAGAGGAAGTTTGAGAAGCATGCATGAAATGCTTGTTTCTTCTCTCTTTGAGGAATTTGTGGGTTAAGCTTCAGCAAGTCATTTTATGTCTTTGATCATGCAGCACAGCTTCACCTTTGATTTAAGTTTTTAATTGGCTGCCACACATTCCTGGCACACTACTACTCCTACTTTTCTAGCAATTTATGTCTTGCTTTGGGGCAAAAAAAAAACTGATTTACCATCTAAACAAGGCAAGTGTGAGAGATAATATCTCTGTTTTTTGGGACAGATATACCAAAGTTCCTGACCAACCACACCATCTATTACTCGTGGGAGGGGAACCCAGTGAACTTAAGCTGTGATGTGATGTCCAACCCTCCTGCCACCATGCTGTGGAGGAGAGTGCGTCTTACCATCTCTGTGGAGGGAACCGCCAACACGCATGTGTACAGCGCCGACGGCAAGTCCGTGCTGGAGGTGGGTACAAGTCCAGAACTGTAAATAACCTTTTAGTGCCGAAATCAGGATTTTTTCACGGTGTTAGCTGGAGGCAAAACAAAGGAAAGACTGGAGACAAACTGTGATTTCAGGCTCTACCGAGCTACAGTATCTGCGAAGCATTTCAGAGATGGAGAGAAAATGTTGCTAATAATTTAGCCTTCTGTCAAACTTAGTCGCTAACCATATCTGTCTTGGTGCTGGGCAGGAAGTGTACACTGGGTTTATCAGGAAACAAGTTGCATGAGAGTGGTGGCAGTAAGACAACACAGTTCCATCTGTAAAACTGAAATGACGAGCTCAAAGATGCTTCAACTTCATCAGTGATTTTTCTCTCAGAGTTTGCGATTAACAAGCAACAATTTTCACATAACACAGTCATTGGACCCATCGCCGTTGTGAGAATATGAATAGGTGCAGCTTTAAATGTGATTTTTCACTTCTGTGAGCATCACAAAAGAAATCAATTTCCCTCCATTGTGCAGGGATGGAAACAATAACTCTAAACCTGGCAGATTAATATCCAAACTGTTTGCATGTTTCGACATTATCAATAGAGATAAGTAAGAATAATGTCTTTTTCCTGGTTGTAGGTGACTCCAATGTCCGACAAGGACTTTGGCCGCTACAACTGCACAGCCAGGAACAACATCGGAGTTCAATACAAGGAGTTTATTTTGGCCCAGGCAGGTGAGTGTGCAGGATTGCCACTTTTGCGTGGCCCCCCTTTACCTGATCTAATGAGATTGGTGGCTTCATTTAAAGTCCAGGATGTGTGTGGTCAGGGATCCCACACCTTTTGAATCACTGCTCTCACAATACCTCTAACTGTTCTACCACTTTGTAACCCTCTACCTCTCTACTAATGGAAATAGCTTTATTTGCAATCGTCAGGAAGATAAATTCCACGGCAACTCCCAACCCCTATTCCGCCTAGCCTAATCTCAAATAGTGCCAGCTGATTTACCATACCCCTCGCTATTTACTGAAGTACCCCCTAATTTAAGGTAGCGCAGGCTAATACACAGTAGTGCAGTCCAATTATCTTTAGTGCAGATTGAATTGCTCTAGCTAAGGAGAAAAGTAGTGAGCAAAAAGGCTGACCTAATATGTAGTCTTGCAGGAAACAATGTGTTTTGAAAGTTTTTCTCACACTCACAATCTTGCAGAAATACGCTCACACAGGGAAACACACACACACACACACACACTCATGTAGTTGTAAAAGTTTGAGTCAGTTATCTCCAATGTAAACTGCAAGGACTCATCCCTTCTTTACACATAAACCTTAAGTAAAACAACACTAGAATTGTCTGCACTGAAGAGTTCAAAGTGATACAATCACTAAAAAATAGCATGTGGGTTGGTTTGCAGCTAAAATAAGTCCTACAGTTTCACCTCACCTCAAACTGACGGGAATTGTGTTGAATTGCTTTCATGGTTTACAGGTATTATAGCCATTATGTCTATATTTAGTTTGATTTCTGGGATGACAGTGATGTAATAGGTAGAAGGCACACAGTGCAGCATTGGAAGTGCCTTCATCTTCAGTTAGAAAAATGCATTTATTGTTGTCATTGTCCAAATGTCAAGGCGTATGTTTGGTTTGAAATAAAAATCTCTCAAAGTAGCAAAGCATTTCAAAAGTAATATCTGAAATAATTCAAATGCTGCGACCCATGTCATTGTTTTTCCTTTGCAGATGTTCCGTCAAATCCATACTCGCTGCGTCTCTCAGCCGTTTCTCAGCGCCTGGCGACCGTCGCCTTCATGAAGCCCGACTCGCATGGCGGCGTACCCATCAGCTACTTCCTGGTCCAGTACAAGGAGGTCGGCTCACAGGAATGGAAGGACGTCAAGTCCCACAGCATCCAGAGTGAGTGGGGGTCATAGTCATTGTATAACCTAAAGGCCTTTGCACGTGAATATTTATTTTTCTCAGTGACCCTTGAACATAAATACTATCCATGTCTTAAACCATTAAATACAGTCCATGCAAACGTTATATTACTGCTTTTTAGCCCCTGATTTCCGTTTCCTTTTTGTACGGCATAAAAATTAAATGGCCGATTCTTGACAGTAGCTTGAGCTGAGCATTTTTGTCAGAGTTACAATATTGTAGACAGGTAACACAGTTTAGACTTTCCAAATCAATCTGCATGTAAATTTAGACTCTTATATAACAATATTTATGTGTTATATACAATATTTTGAAAAATATCTAAATTTACTCAATGTGCCGCAAACCGTACTGTGGATAGTTTTCATTGGAGCTTCTTTCTTTTGAAGAAATAGTCCCTGCCAAATTATAATTTAAAACTTGTTAAACTGTTCAAACAGTTCAAAAGATCCCCTGAAACCTCCGCTTCACTTACCAGCGAGGTCATGCCTCAACATGCCAGATTAGCATCCCATCAGATCGAACGACACCAATCGCACACCGGTAGAAGCCGCATCACATGATCGGCCATGCGACCCGTCAAAGCCTAAGCCCTGAGAGGTTGCCGGGTCTTGATGGACCTTGAACGCCTCATGGGGAGAGTGCCAGAACCCGACGTAGCTGAAAGAGCGGGCACCTCCTCTTCTTATGATTTACGACTCCAAATTGATTTCCGAGCCCGCTGTTGGAGAGTACACCGTGAGGTGACGGATGGATGGATGGATGGCTGGAAAATGGAAGGTAGAGGACAACCAGTTGTGTGATGAGCAGTACAGACAAGCCTGAAGGGCTTATCACTAATATCCCTCATTTCAGAGTCGATTACAATATGTAGATGCAGTGAGGCGAATACTAAACCAAAGGTAGCACTTTAACAGTAAAGAAGAAAAAAGGGAGAAAATAGAGCAGAACTGGATGAACAAAGTTGTTAATTTACTGCCTGTTTATTTTAATCTGGCTCGTTATTCACGATTTTAAATGGAATATTGAAATAGTGACTAATTACAAAGCAGTAAGTGGCATCATATAATCATAGAAGCCACTTCAGATACCCTCAGCACAAGATCATTACACAATATAATGAGATGCCTGGACTTGTTTCATTTGAATGCTTTTGCCCAAATTGAAATGTCTGCTTATAGCCTGGTAAGTAACCTAGCACCGCTGCAAATTGCAGAATTTGTTTTCAGTTCCAGGACTAAAGAACTGCAAAAGCACCTATTACCATTCAAGTATTTAATTTGTGCAGACTGACAAAAACAACAACTTTTACTCAAGCTCATTACACTGCCAGCTCTCTGCTGCCGCTGTGAGTACTGAAGGTTATGTAAATAGTCTCTAGGGACTGCAGAGTTTTAATGTGGTGCGATAATGAGAATTCCTGTTTTCTTCAATAATCAATAAGAGTCACAGTATGAATGTAATAGAATACGCTGTTTTACTATGGTTCTTACAGTCTTAATCATAATGTGATGTTGATCTATCCATCTATTCTTTGAATACATTGTCTTTTAAAACTTACTGCTAATAATAGAAATGGAGTGTTTACACTGTAAATGCTGTCTTCTATCAACATCCTAATATTATACTCATACTATTCATTATTAGCCTACAGCAACAACAAAAGAGAAAAAAACAAACGACAGATCTTTCATTATAATGTATCCTTTTGCATTTTCAAATCAAGATGAAATACTCCAATATGCATCTCTCAGAAAAGAGAAAAAGGTCCGGTTGTACATTTAGCGTAACTTTGAAGTACAGAACATGGTCAAAAGTAAGTAAGTAGTCCATAAAAATGAGTTTCTCCAAATGTAGGCCAATGGAAAAAAAAAAGAGACTGTAGCCAGTGACACATATTTAATAAAATACTTTGTTAAGACTGTCTGTCTATCGATCTCCTCCGCTCTGTTTCAGTGCCTTGGACAGCGCCGCACCTACACACAACAACAACCAGCGCTATCTGTCTGAGAATAACTCATAGTAAATAAAGTTGATGCAAGATGAATAATGTGGGATTACTTTTCCTTATCTAATGGCCTTTTTTGGGTTATGAATATACAATCAAAAAATTGGGTAAAAAAGTATTCGAATGCTGATTTGGACGTCGCTTACCATTGCAACGATATGTGGATACTTAAACCTTACATTCATATGTGATTGTTGAACCTTGTCGAATGGCCCACCATTCCAGTTCATCCAAATGGTGTTGGATGTGTTTGAGGTCGGACCACATTAAACTGGGAAACACATTTCTTTATCGACCTGCCTTTGTTGTGTATTGTGGAGCGAATTGGAGGCGCTAGTCCTCACGAACTCCTGCAGATCGTCGTCTAACCTCTGCATTCTGGCTGTTTATTCTTGTTCAGTTTTTTAATGATGCACTCTGCCATCTACGATTGATGGTCGCCACGTTTCCAGGTGACATGAACTGTGGTCCTGTCTCTCTCCAGCGACCGTGGTGCTGACGGGGCTGGAGCCCAACACGACGTACGAGGTTCGAGTGGCAGCTGTCAACGGAAAGGGTCAAGGAGAGTTCAGCCACACGGAGAGTTTCCAGACTATACCCATCAGTAAGTCCTCTGTTCTCCCCCCACACGCAGCTCGTTTCCTGTCACATTCTTCATAATAAGAGCGTCTGAACTTGCTACGATGTGACCAGAAAGGGATCCTCACAACTAGTCTAATAGCCACTTACATATGTCTCCGGTCATCATAATCACTTTTAATCATCTCTACAATGGCTTGATAGCATTTAGACTGGGCTCATTGTTAATTATTGGCACATCCCAGAATTTCACAAATGCTGATGATCAGCAGGATGTCGTATATTTTTTTCTGAAACAGGACGGTAAAGGCACATAAAACAGTTATGAAAATTGATGAGGATTAATATGAGAGAGATATTTGTGTCCTGATTTCATAAAATGAAATGCAAACACGCTGCAAAATATATTCAAAGTATATCAACACCTTAGTGAAATGAGTCCTATTTGCCATCTTGTGAAACTCTGGCATCCTTGTATTTGAAACAGTTACAACCGTCTCATATTTCAGTGATATGAATCCAGATTATTGGAGGTTGGAAAAGATCCTGTCAAATTTGTGTCTTGATGTAAAAGTGCTGCGTTAAAAATTATATACTGCAGGCGTTTTATGATGAGCATTTTATTTATTCTGGCATTCTGGCACAGCAGGATTGCAGTAAATCTAGGCGAGGCCATAGAAGAGTATTTCCACCGTTAATATTATACAGCAGCTACGAGAATGAATGTTAGAAAGAAGACCCAATTAGCAAAATACAGTGAATAATAAGAACCTCCAGTCAACATTAGTTATAGCCAGCCAGTGGGAGTTGCCCCGCAGTATGAATTTAATTCAGCTTTAAACCGTCTCTCTCCTTGTACTGCATCCTTATCTCATATCTCACATTGCCACCTGCTCCTTGGGAACACATACACACACACAGAACAATCACACAAAGACATATTGTTTTGCATCTCCTCCTCGTGTCTCCCGCAGGAGAGCCGAGTCCGCCGGCGGTCCACGGGCAGAGAGGAATCGGCAAGACCTACAGGCTGGGGCTGGTCAAGCAGGACGACGGAGGGATGCCCGTCGTGGAGTATATAGTCAAGTACAAGACTGTGAGTATTTTAAACATGGCTACTACAATCAGGCCCATAACCACAATCCACCTTCATCGAGTCTGCATAACTCCCGAGACCAGTTTGAGTTGAGATGTTACTTTGTAGATGTCCACAATCCTATTGAAGCTGTCGCACAATTTTCATATTCCCCAATATGTTCCATTGAGCACAATGTTCCCCGACATTGAATGAAATAAGTCTAAAATTAGGACCATCCAACTTAGACGATGGTTTTTCTTTCAGCTTGAAATGTGCAAACGGCTCCAAATGAGCTTTCGAGATAGACAATGCGACAATAGGAATCCATTGAGTTTAGCAAAAGTGAATGTTTGATTTGAGAATCTCGATTTTTCTGTCCTTGTGCCACTTTTAATCCATGTTTTAAAAGAGTACACACAAGCTGTCAGAGTTCACTCATCCATTTCAGTATTTTGTGTGTAAAATCACAAAAAGCAGCTTAAACATACAAGATAAGGCGAGCGACTGCAGGAAGCAGAATACATGGCACTCGCACAAAAACCCTCCACAGGACTAAGTGGATTTGATGCGTCCAAGCAGGCGTTTGTCCGTCTCATTGAGTAAATGACAGCGAGTTTAAACTGTATGGCTGCAGATGAAAACACGCTGTGGAAAAGAGGGTCAGGAGGTCTCAGCGAGGCTTTTGAAGGCCGAGCAGGAAGCCAGAGCTTTCACACCCCAGTAATCCTACGCCGTTGTCTGGCACCAGGAATCACACAACCGCTTCATCATGGAGGGGCACGCATGAAGGATGGAAACAGATTAGACTTGAATATGCACACACACACACACACACACACACACACACACACACACACACACACACAGACCCGTCATAGTCACCTGGCAATCCAGACAATTGTTAAATACATGCATGCCTTCTCTGTCCTCAAAATTGGGAGTGAATGGTGCCAAGGAGGCAAGAATGGTAAGCACACAGTAGATCTGACTTTTGGCCGCACTCTTCAGTTTTTCAATCCTTTGTTTGCAATCGATGTCACGACGAAATAAGAGGAAGGACGGAAGGAAGGAAGGAAGGAAGGAATGAATGACGTGAGGAAGGGGAGAAAGAGAAAAGGCTGAAGCCACAAAGGAACAGAAAGGTATCCGAGAACTTGTGTGAACTTGATGAGAAACAGAGAGTTGCCTTTTTCTCTTAAGCTCTGATTGCAGTAACTCTCCGAATCCCCAGATGAACAACACAAAGGGTGTGTTGTTCATCAAACACAACACTTCCTCGGCTCTCCTTTGATGCTTGCAGACAAAGATGAAATGATTGTTAAAGTTGTAAGTTATTCAAGGGTATGAAGCATTTATCTTACATTTCCCCCCTCTTTCCTTCACGTTTTCTGTCCTCTCAGGATAAAGAGGAACAGTGGATGACCAAGCTAGTGCCAGGAGCCAACGACTTTGCGATGCTGCAGCCGCTGCAGTGGAACACAAGATATGAAGTGGAAATCACAGCTCGCAACGTCAAGGGCCTGTCAGAGCCCACCTTCTATCAGTTCTTCATGCCACAGAAACCTGACATTACAGGTAAAAGCATGACAGAAAGCACACTTTGACTTGTAATTTGCCTTTTTAACACATCCACTTTTCCTTTACTTGCCTACTTTCTGGCTGGCATTAGATGCCTTTTGAAAGCCCCCGGAGAACATTTCTGAACTTGTTGTGTTAAGCGGTGTGTTGTTCGTGCCGCTTGAAAGAGCGATAGCATTTGGCGATAACAAAAGCAAAAAAGAGCAAGATGTACCAGTCAAGATAAAGCGAGCCTCAAAGCGCAGCAGGCCTCATCGCCGCGTTGCTTTCTGGACAAATTGAGGCTGCTATCAGTGGACAAATCGATGCTTCTCCTGCATTGGTTTTCTCCCTTTATGACTGTTGAATGCCGTTTGAGAGACCAGAATGAAATGTTTTCCTTAAAAGTTGTTTGAAAAGCAGAAATGTATTTTTACGCTGCAAAACGTCATTGTAGCTGCTCTAAAAACCACCAGTTTACCTGCCGGGGTCAAGTCAAAGTGAACAAACCAACAACAAGATTAGACTGCTCGCTGTCTGAAAGCACCAAAATATATATATATATTAAAGCAACAGAGCTGTTCTAACTCATAGTCTCTAATATGATAGAAAACCCAAAACAGTGCGTCCTTCATTTCAAATTATGCAAATCTTATGGTGTCCTTTTATCAGGCTTATTTTTTCAAACTCAAGAAAGCTTCCACATGAGCCCCAGAGGACATTATGCCATACAGGGGTATTATTCCATGTGTAAAATCACTGGAATGCCCTTTTCATATTTCTATAGGACATGAAAGCTTGGAAGTGGATCTAGACTCTCCCATTAAGGCGTTCTTAGTGTAAACGTCCACACTTGGGATTCATTCACACCTGTTCAAATAAACACCGGGGTTCTCTCCAAAGCAACCCAAAGAGACCGAGCATGACAACACCCCCAGGCTGTAGCGTTCTTCTTCATAATATCATTCTCTTCTCTCCTCTTTACATTGTGCTTCTCCTGTGCTGCTGCTGCTTTTGCGGTGCTGCACCAGAACTCTCCTGCATGGCTAATCTGGCTCGTTTCTCACTTGAAAGACCAACACGCAGACGGTCACATAAACCAGAACACAAACACGGACATCTCTTTCAGCTCTCGCTCGGTGTCGTCCATATGTTGAGGTAATGCTTCTGCGTCATGAGAAGCGTGCACATGTGTGTGTGTGTGTTTGTGGAGCCTTGTGCTTAATGCCCTGGAAAGGAAAATGCCTGGGTGTGCAGGACGCTTCTCATATCGCAGTCCTCTCCAGGCCGTCTGGGTGTGCAGGGATGCAAACAGAGGCACATTTGAAATGTGCGGCATGCAACACCGTTAGCCGGGAACACACATGGCTACAGACACACATGTATTGCTGGAATAGAAACGTTATGTACACCTCCCCCTGCAGCCCTAACGCACACATGTGGAAAATACAACCAAACCAAGGAAGGCTGTCTCCTCTCCGAGCCTGTTGGCACATCCATTTGTGCTGCTGCTGCGGCTCGAGCAAGTGTTTGCTTCTCTCATTACGGCTCTGGCTAAATGGCCTGTGAGAGTGTGTGCTGCCTTTCAAATAGAAAACAAGAGCGGGGAAACGTCGAGCTTAAGGCGGGTCACTTCGACTGGCTGTCCCCTCTTGTTAGCGAACAGCGGTGCATCGCGGGAAAGCAGTTTTTCCTCTTCAGAGGAGTAATACAGCAGAGCTTTTTGGCCCCGAAGTCGACGGAGAGCCTTGAAATCTGTCACAGCAGGTTTTTTCAGAATCAACTTTCTCCCAACTTTTCTATCTCTCTCGCGGGACGCTGCAATTACTCCCTCTCCAAACCGACGCCCCAAATTCAGCAGTCCCACGCCAGTTCACACTTTAATACCACCAGTTTATGTTTACAGCATTTTCATTAAGCAAAGGCGTCAGTCTTAACATTTTCCAGCCCAAAAACGACGTCCGTTTGTTTATATAATCTTGGAAAAGTCGAGCAGGTTAAACAGAGAAAAATCACTCACATTTTCTGCTCCGCTGAATCAAATTGGATATCGAGGAAGTCTGGTGAGCTCAATCAAACAATATTCGATGTGAAATATGTGCCAATCCCAATCGCCGACTGTCTTTCCCAATCGGCGCCTGGCTTTTCTTTACCCTCTCATACACTGTCAACACACTCAATAAAAGAAACCTCTCTTTTCATTTTTTATCGACACAGAAAATATGTCAACACCACATAGCTGCCTTCTATCTCTCGCCAGCCAATTTCTCTTTTCAATTCTCTCTCTATGTATTATGCATCTGCAGGGTATTGAATTGGCACTTTTCTTTTTTTTCCTTCGTCCTATTTTAGTTTGCGACAGGCTGGATAACCTTCCTCCCCTTCTGCTCACGGAGAATCCTTTAAGAAAAATGCCATTGATTGCAACACTGCCCTTGGTTCCTTTTCAATTTACTCTTCTTCCTTTGTGCCTGTGTGTTTTTTTTTGGTACCACGGCCGTCATGATGGCACAGGAGCTTTGCCATTAAGCAACGTTTGCAACTGCCCTAGTATCTATTAGAACTGGTGGCCGTAACATAAACCTATATTGTTAGGAAGATCAAGTGTTTTGTGTTAAGGAACATTGAGGATATCATGAATAGAAAACCTTGAAAATGCACAGTGGTATAAAAAGCCTACCGTCTATTGATCGTAATCTAAAAAGTAAAAGTATAAAGTAGCATAAGCTCTTACTGGAGCAGAAGAAAAGCCAGGTAGATGAGTGCATCCATGGCAATGAATTGTGCTTCTTTTCAGTATTGAGGTACTTGTACTTTATTTGAATATAAAACTTTATTTGTTTAATCCTCAATCCTTTGTATTGTATTAATCTGACAGCTTGTCACGGGTTACTTTGCAGTTTCACAACACATGTAATCAAATAGAATATGGAGCAGTGATGCAGATTGAACCATCCAGCAGCAGGATCTTCTAATGATAATCACGGACAAGCTTCGCTTTTCAAGAGGCAGTACATAATACTCATAATACTTCTTGCGGTGACAGTTTTACTTGAGTAAAAGACCGGAGTACTTCTGACAGTGTCGACATCCGCTGCTGCTTGTGTTCAGCTCGGTTGCGGCCGCTGTATGTTTCTTGGCTCCCTCCTCTCCTTCCAGTCGGGTGCAGTAAAAAGTCTTGATTTAAACCGGCGTCATAGATTTTGTTGCAATAATTTCATCAAAGCACTTGAGGAAATAATGTGAAAGAGTAGAACTTTTCCTGGAAGCGATGCCAGCAAATCAAATGGGAATTGACTTCTTTCATTGCTGTCCATTTACTTTAATCATTTTCCCCCTCGATTTCTAGAACCAACGTCATTATTATTTTTTTAGAGAAGTGTAATAAAAAAAGATCCATGACAATCACCTCTGTTGTTCAGAGTGTTATCTTCATATAACACTCATCTTCTGTCCAGCCTATCTGAGGTGCAACCTTCTGATTTTATTATTATGATACTGAATAGGTTAGAAATACAATAAAGCATCATTTAAATGATGTTTACGTAGTTTTTATGAATCCACTTTATTCCAGATGAGAAAGCATTGCTTTGTTGAATATAATCAGTTGAAGTACCACTGGCACAGCACAAACAACCGCTGCTCAAGTGCAACTGGAAATATTCTCACATTAAAGCAGAAAATACGGACTGAAGATGACATAACTGCCACCCACAGGGATTTGACATCATTTTAATCGGAGACCTACATTAGTTTGACTTATGTAAAGTAAACACGTATCCTATAACTTACCAGGGTAAAGGCTACGGTACTCCGACAATGTGACACAACAGCAGCGGGGATGTTTACATGTTTGCTCACTCATTTATTCACTGAACAAAGGATTGTGTTTTCCGAGGGAGCGTATTTAACACCAGATATCATCCTCCTCAGCTATGTAAATATTTGATTATAAGCAAGAGAAGCAGGCAGAGGGCTTCCTGCTGAGATGGAGACGGAGCAGAAGCGACTTCTGAAACGTACGGCAGTTTAGCTTTTTATAACGCAGTCCTGAGCTTCACTCAGTCGTTTTAATGCCCTATATATTTTAATGACTCTTGGCCATAATGAGCAGCATTAATATACAGTAACCCAGTATTTCTGTCACTGAACTCTCTAAAAATACCTCATGCTGTTTTAGTGATAATTCTGAAAATCTCAAAGCAGTGTTGCTGACAATTAATCCTCTACCAGAGAAATGTACCTTTAAAACAAAGTGATTAAATCACTCATTGATTTTGCAATAATTTTTTTATTTGCGATGTCAGTGGCATCACAAACCCAGGTGAGCATCATGGGAAAATACTTCCGGGCTGCTGCTTTGGGTATTTTTAAGCTGAAGTAGTTTTGCTTGTGAACAAGGTCTCTCATGTAACAACACAAACATTAAAAATGACACAAAAAAATCAATTTGTAAAAATGAATCCAGATTCGCAGAGTTCATATTATAACTCTGCTTCCAACCAAGACGCTGTAATGTGTGTCAATAACTGTGCAGGAAGTATTTTAGAGCAAGGCTCTTCAGTATGCCGACTGACTCGTCTCTGAGAAGTCTGCAGAGACTGAGTAGTGACACCTGGTTGAGCATGTACTTTTTGCCAGGGCATTGTTAGGAGTCAACACTGTGCTGTTTGAATGTGATCTCACCGAAAGCACAGCCTGAAGGACGAAGGCCTGAAGGACGAAGTGAAGTGAGGAGAAACAATGAAAAATAAACTCAAATAACACTAATAACTTTTTAAATGGCTTCTCTCTTCCGCCGGCTCTTCTCTTCACTACATTATGAATCAAGTTCGGTGACAAAGAACGGAGTGTTTCTTTCTAATATTCTGTTTGGGCTTCAGTCAATTTTTGAGTTTTTTTTAGCAGCACTAAAATCAGTTGATTATCTGGAGGTGTTTGATGTGTTTTAATAGTTCAAATTAGGTTCATGTAGCACTGCGATAAACTTTGTAGTTAAGTGCTGTTCATGCATTCAA